CAACAATATCTAAAAATAAAGCTGGGGAAATTTTATTGATCAATATCTATTTAAAAGTAAATCATACGCTCAGTTTAATAAAAATTAAATTAAAGAATAAGAAACTGGAAGAACACTAACATAATTATTGATTGGATTTATTGGATGAGGATTTTCGTATGTGTTATATAATACATATTTATTTTTAGTCATTATCATATTTCGTAGGAATATTTAATTCCGTGTTTTAAACTCACCAGGAGAGGTTACTTACGTGGGATCACCGATTTCAATGAAACTTTTTTTTAGTATACTAAATAAATTAATAAGAAGTAATTTATTTTTAAATAAATTAAATTTTTAATTTCAATCATAAAAAATCTTTTCAATTGCTATTCCTTAAAAATACATATAGATAAAAACATTTTTAGTGTGAAATTGTGTTTACGAATAAAAATAAGAAATATACTATGCATTTTTATACTTTTAAAAAGTTATAAATACCCTTTGTCTAGCTCTATAAGTGAATCTGAGCTAAACAAAAAGCAGAACATGTACTATATGAATGTAAGGTCTTTACCTTCTATAGACTATAGCATGAGCAGGTAAAATATAACCATATTTTATGAAAAAAATTATCTCTAAAAGTATTATTGTTCGTCTAATTATAGTTAATAGGAATTAAAGACCATTTCATATAGGTAGTTAGTATCTTTCTTTTTTCCGAAGTAATTATCATAATATATTTTTTAAAAAAAATCTTTCGGGCTGAAGCAGGACAGCTATATAGACAGTCACTAGCTGATCCAGGATTTAATTTTTTGGGGGGGGGGGCTTCAGCCCGAAAGCTTTTTTTTCTTAAAAATAACGATAATTACTTTGGAAAAAAAGAAAGAAACTAACAACCTGTATGAAATAGTGTTTAAGTGATTCCTAAAGCCCTTTAAATGTAATTACACGAACAATAATACTTTGAGAGATAATGTTTTTATATTTTTTTCGAAAAAACAGGGTTATATTTTCCCATTTTGGGAGGGCTTCAGTCCGAAAGTCCTGCCCCCTCCCCCCCGTAAATCCGCCCGTTTGGACAGTAAACGGATGACTTCATCACAGCCAAAATAGTTACCAAAGTAGTTGTACACTAGTTACTTTAGTATTTGGGAATAAGAAAAACCAAGATTTCTATTTCCTTATTCTCTAAATATTGATTGAAATGTACCAAAGTATATCTACCTACTATAGTATATAATTTTCTTTCCCTATACCATTTTTTGATATCTAAGTAAGAGTGATATGTTTTAAAGTGTTCAGATGGTAATACTAACGCATGATAATTTTGTACCTTTTTGTTAAGAATAAACTCGTTTGATGGTTGAATATGGAGTCAATAATTGGTGTTTAGGCAACTTTCTACTTTAATAAAAAAAAAAGGTAAATAACTCTAATGAGTTCAACTTAGACAACATTCGACATAATTTGGCAGTGGACTGTATGTTAATTGAATTGGTAGGTTATATGGTTTATGAAAAGTAATTCACCCTTTTATGCTGGCATATAAAAATCTTAGGTGGCCTTTGAAGGGCGCCCTCCTCAGTCCAATCTTAAGTCCTCTCTATTTAACTGCTTGATTAAAAGTGGCTGAGAGACTTGCTCTCTGTAGGCTTCTCGATTCTTATCAGATCTCTGTTTTTACAACTCACTGCAAGGCGGGTTCGGGCGCAAAATTACAAGTTCTCAAAACAATTGGTGTAAAAATTTTCATCGGTTTTGTGCTCAAAAATTGAAAACTTATAGTATTTTGGCCATTACATAAGCCATATCTGTTGAACGCTTGGACTAGAATGAAAAACTTTGAAACATACAGATAGGTTAATTAATAAGAAAAGTTTAAAGTAAATGACTTGAAACACTTCGATAAAGTGTCAATAATTGGTGACTTTAGTCGATATTAATGTATTCTTAGTTTTGTAGGCCAGTGGTGCTTAATGAAAAGGAGCGTAAAGACAGTAAACATCATAAAGTGCCTGAAAAGCCTACTCAACTAACTAATCACATACTTTTGATTTATTTTTCAAAAATATATATTGACGGAAAAATTAAATCGTTTGAATCAGGCCCAACGAGGGGAGGGGCATAGTTTTGAAGGGGGCCAGCTGATCAGGTTTTATTTTTCACTTTCGACATAAATAATGTTGCATACAATACATAATAATTATGTGATTTCTTGAATAAATTTATTAATGCATAAATTATGAAGGATGAGGTTGGATTTCAATATTAGGTTTAACATTTGACGGCAACTTGTCAAAATGTATCCTTGGAGTTCCTGGTTTCTTTCCACAGCACTCGTTTGAACAGACATTGATCCCATCAGAGGTGCCCATCCCACCTCCCTAAGATCGATAGCGCAAGAACCTACCTCTCCCCCTCCTCCCAAGATATTTTATTGCTTACCTTTCTTAAAAACAGAGCAAGCTAAGGTAGAATTAGAAAAATCGTAGATCATATATAAATACACTTGCTGCGGTCAGTTCCATGTGTTACCCTTGTCCATTAGTCCAAAAATTCATAACCCTGTCGAAATCCCCCCCTTAAAATTCAAAAACTCGTCAAAATATGCTCCCTCAAAAATTTTGATGGCACAAGTTGCGCCATGAAACCTCTTCTGGACACCCCTGGATCCCATAACACAAAAGAACGTAGGGACACTAAAAAGAACTGAACGTGTTCTCGTTGAGTATGTTCTTTTATGTTGGATCCAATTTCCGATATGCGGTTTTTGATGGATCTATACGTTTCAGAGCTCCCTGAGTTCGAAAAACACATTTAGCCATTAGCACAGGCGGATCTACGGGGGGGGGGGCTTTCGGGTTGAAGACCCCTCCCCCCCAAATGGTAAAATATAAGTATGCTTTACAGAAAAAAATATTAAAAACTATCTCTTAAAGTATTCTTGTTAGTGTAGTTACATTTAATAGGACTTCAAGAACCACTTAATCACCATTTCATACAGGTAGTTAATTTCTTTCCTTTTATTTCTAATTAATTATTGTTATACGTATATGAAAAAAAATCCTTCAGGCTGAAGCCCCCTCCCCCAAAAATTAAATCCTGAATCCGCTAGTGGCCATTAGAAAAACACATAGCCATTATTCTGTATGGCTGTCTGTGTTAAGATTTTCTCGGGAACTAGTGAACTGATTTTGTTGCTTCTTTTTTTATTATGTAGGGTTTTGACTACTGATGCCTGTGACACAAATTGGATGCTCCATGCGCAATAGCTGCTGCGCAATAAATGAAAAGCATGTTTTTCTAGAGACTAGATTGAAAACAATAAACTAAAGCAATGTAAACCGGTTTAAATTAGATCAGTGTAAAAATTTCAATACCCTCTAATATTTCTGATCAAAAACTTGTTTCCATAGCCTAATTTTGTCAGACAATAATTTCTGTTAAAAATTGCGGAAATAGTGAAGCTTGTGTGATGCGGGTAACAGATTTTTTACATAATTTATCATATGTCTATTTTAGGCCAAAGGTCACTAAAAAAAAACACAGTTTTTTTTATCTCCTGTATGCTTTATTCAACGTTTCGGCTACAGGAGCCATTTTCAAGAACCTGCAAAACATGCACCGCGCCATAAAATTTTTAAAATTTATCATTGCGATATGATTCGTCCTAATTCATTCTTTTATTTCAAAGAATGTCGTTTTCCGTTTCTCTATTTGCAGACGGTATCAAGAAACTATTGTTCTTCAATAGGGCATTCATACATGACTCAGGAAACGACATTCTTTGAAATAAAAGAATGAATTAGGACGAATCATATCGCAATGATAAATTTTTAAAATTTTATGGCGCGGTGCATGTTTTGCAGGTTCTTGAAAATGGCTCCTGAAGCCGAAACGTTGAATAAAGCATACAGGAGATAAAAAAACTGTGTTTTTGGCCTTTCGCCTAAAATAGACATATGATAAATTATGAGAAAATGGCACCAAACCCGAAGGATGTGGCTAGAAGATTTTTTACTTTCACTTAGTTCTCTTTTTTTTCACATTCACCCCTTTTTGACAACAAGATATGAATCCGTAATCTTACATTGGATATTAATAGCTGTAACTTCGTTAATAGTTGTCCGAAATTTATGATCATTAACGATTTTTATACAGTTTTATAGGGAATTTCATTACCTGTTTTTCGGACAACTATGTTACAGCTATTCAATTTCCAATGTAAGATTACGGGTTCATATTTTGGTGTCAGAAAGGGGTGAATAAGAGAAAAAAGATAACTAAGTGAAAGAAAATTTGTTGCCCGCATCACACGAGCTTCACTATTTCCTCTACTTTTAACAGAAACTATTATTTGACAAAATTAGGCTATGGAAAAAAGTTTTTGATCAGGAATACTAAAGGGTATTGAAATTTTTACATGGATATACCTTAAGCCGGTTTACATTTCTTTAGTTTATCAAATAAATCGTACTCAAATCTTTTCTTTGAGGAAAATAAATCTAATTCAATTTCTTTCTGTTTCTTGATGGACACATGTAAAGATATAAAATCTTTTCTGAAATAGGTAGGAAAGTCGTGTTAGTGGACACACCAGATTTTTTTTTTTCGTTTTTATTTTTATTTTTTAACAATTATTTTGTTGTTTATTTTTATTCTTATTTTTGTTTCCGTATTTTCTAAATTCTTTAGGTATTTAAATTTAATTACATTTCAAAAAAAGTTAATAGAGGTTAAATCGCAAAATAGGCGTTGTGTGAAGCAAGTGTTTCAATAAACACCCGCCGCTTCCTTTTCATCTTGTATGCTCCTAACTTGTTATAACTAAAAACGAAAAAGAAAAAAAGATCAAGTAAAAATATATCAAATTACATCAAGCTAAAGAAAAAAAAAATGTGATGCCATTCGATAAGTGAATTATTCCTTTTATAATTACCTCAATATATCAAATTTAGTTTAAAAATAAAACGGACCATCTGGAGATAAAAATAGGAGCTCTAAACCTCAGTGTTCAACTGCCTCATGACTACCTCCTGTTTTCGATTTGCGTTGCTCAGTAATAAGTATAAGAAATAGTATGAATCTGTTGTGGATAAAGTTATTGGTTCTTCTGATACCCTTCAGAGATCACTCATGTTCAGCAAAAGAAGAAGAGACGTAAGAAATTTAAGGCTATCTAAGCTTTGTTATAATTTAAAAACAAACAAACCTTAATAAATAAATTCCGTGAGAAAAAAAAATCGACAAAAACATAATTTGTATAAAAGCAAGAAAATGTAATAAAAATATATCTGGTTTGAGATTATTGTATATTGTTAGTATGAAGCGGGATACAATAAAAATAATACACGATCAAAAGGTTTCATTTTGTGTGTTATAATCACAATTACTTCTATATTTTCATTACGTAAATGAACTAATTTTAAAATTCTTATTATTGTAAATTATTATTATTAGCATTTTGTTTTCGGTTTTTAAATATATGTATTAAAATAATTCTGTTGCTCTTACTAAAGCCAGTTATTAAAATAGTACACTATTTAATTTAAAGAGTAAAAAAAAAAGTTATGATTCTAATATTATTGGAATAATGAAAAATTATTAAATTATATAAAGCTTGATATACAGTTAAAAATGATATATCATCAATTAAATTGCCTAAAAAAAATTCCAATATCATTGTTATTTAATTTGATCCATTAGTAAATAAATATTTGTTTGTATCTAATGAAATTTGTTGATTATTTGTGTAAAATATTTGGAACATACAGCTTAAAACTATAAGCTTCTTGGCTTAAATGTATTACTTCTACAGAATTTTAAAAAAAGTGTTTTTAATACATAATTCCGAAACATGAATAATAATCTTACAGCATTAGTTGTTCTATATGTTATTGGTGGTATTTAAAATTTGTTGAAACTTATTATTCGGAATACATTAATGATATTAAAAAAAAAAAATATTATATTCTAAAATCAATTCTGTAATATAAAGATGATTTGATATAAAAATTCATTAAATGTCAAATTTATAAAAAAGAAAACTGGGACTTTTTATTTATTCAGAAATATTACAATATGTCACAATTAAGGACATTTATAATAATGTTCTGAGAGCACATTCACACTATATTTACAATATATAATACAGAAAATAATAATACTAAAAGTAAATGTATATAAACAAAAGAATTAAACTAATCAAAATAATAACTAAGACACAAGCATACTAAAACTGGAGCTAAACATGATTTAAATACACGTGTTCTATGTTTTGAATAAAATGTGAATTTTTTGTTTCAGTGTTGAAAAATGGGCAGCAAAGCTCGGAAAAGAACTTTGGGAACTTGGATCGAGTGTAACAAAAGTACCTGAAATCAGATCGGTATGGATAATAAATTAATTTAATTATATAATTATGATTTTATTTTTTATGATCAAAAAAATTCTATCCTTGGTTAATTTGTAGTGAACTAGACAAAATTTCCTTCAATTGCAAGTATATTTTGCCTTTGTTAAAACCATTAATAGGAAAATTTTGAGCGGCTCTACTTCGCTGTATAAATCCGAATTAAAAGTAACAGGTCTTCCTAAATTAACATTTCGAAATAAAAAAAATATAATAAACCCACCAATCGCTTAAATTATTTCCATGAAAACGTAAACATTAGGGCACATATAGTTGATCACTTAATATCATGAAAGAGATCTGTAAAAATAATTGAACATTACGGCTTAAGATAATATTTCTTTACCAGGGTTTGAAATCGATAATTATTTTTTCCACAAAATCACGTAATAATTATTATATTTGATTTTTAATTTAAAAATCATGCCGGGTTTATAAATAAAAACAAAAATTGAATCGATCTTTGATGTTTATTGATTCGATTAAAAATAATTACCATTCACTGAGTGACACGATTTTTCATAAATAATAAATTAAAAATTTTTTGATCTGAAAATAAAAATCAACTTTTACTCATAAATTAAATTAAATATTGATATATGCGCATACGTTATTAATGTACACATTTTTAAATATTGTTTTTCAGTAATCGCTTTAATTGTGTACGCGGTACCTGTAATATATATATTTTATTTTTTTCAGAAGCCGAAATTTCCAATGAATTACGGAAATAAAGATGTTCTTTTGCTAATAGTTAGCAATATTCTCCAACTACTACTCCATACTTAAAATATGTCATGGAGATTACAAAAACAAAAAATATATTTCTGTTTTAAAAAAGTATTACTCAAGAATTATTATTATTGTTAATTGTAAAAATTTTGTTAAAAAATAATGATCAGAATATGATTTTTATCGCTTATGATCATAAATAAAAATCACTCTTAATAAAAATTATTAAATGATTTTTAAAAATTCCAAATAAAAAGTTTGATCAGATTTTATTTTCATTTTTTTAATTATCGATTTCAAAACCTAATGTTTACAATATAAGACCCTACATTACGGTTTTAGTGTCTCATTGTATGTAGTTCAACTTTTTTTTTTTTACTTAAAAAAACTAGTTTGGAATAGATCAGCTAGCTGACATTAATTGCTTTTAAAAAATAAGAATAAAATAATAGTCTGTGTTAACATGACTCATTAACTTAACCTTATAGAACAGAGATTATCAACCTGGGTATCGCAAGTTTATGAGCATGATGGCACGGCAATAATTTTAATTAAAATATTCAACATTTAAGGTCTAATCGTCAATTTGGTGAATAGTAATTCTAAAAATACATAAATTTATATTTAATAATAATAAAATTAAAATAAATCTAATTTAAGGAATAGTTGGTAGGGGGATGCGGAGAACAATCACACACTATTATTTTGTAATATTTATTATTAATATAAATTGAATAATTGGTGATAAATATTACATCGTAATTAGTGTGTGATTTTTCACCGTACCTTCCGACCAAATATTTCTTCAATTAGAACTACGGTCATTCATTTTTGTACCATCAATCCAATTTAAGATTATATCTAGGCAATTTTTTTTTCTACTTTACACCAAAATTGGATACATGTTCTATTAAATCACCGCTTTGAGAATAACTGTTTTTCTTTTTAACTCTTTTTTTTTTAATCCGACATTGGTACCTCGATTTTTTTTTTAACCCGACAAGGCAAGGTACCGCTGCAAAAAAAGTTTGAGAACCGTCGTTATAGAGTGTTATTCATCATAGGTTTATGTTTATACTTTGAATGTTCCTTTCACATTTTATGATTTTCAGAGCTACAGGAAACTTAATGCTCAAGTATTGCCGACAGATGGGGAAAAAATCCTTCATAATATAGTTTCTAATGTCAACCGTCTGCTGAAACGGAAAATGGATTCAGTGATGGTATGTCCAATATAGAGAGCTAGAATGCATATTTGAATTTATAAAAAAAAAAAATGATAGGTATAATATATACTCAAATTCTTTTGACAGTGTTTAATTGAAGGTGCCGAACGTCTATCAGAAGACTTTAAAGACCAGAATCAGACATTGATTTATTTCAGTTCGAAATTTTCGAAACTGGTTGGAGTAGACGACGAAGAGAACATTACCAACTACAGGATGATGGAATTGGAGCCCGACTATCATTTTTATAATATTTATGTCAACACAACTCATAGCGCTGTTCATGTGCCCACGGACGTTTTTGACCTGGGTAATTATATTTATAAATTAGTATGCAGTAGATAGGGAAAGTATTGAAAATTTACTAGTCTAAAAATGTTTTTAGACTAATTAAATATTTTCTGAACATATTAATTATTTTTCGAAACACACATAATATATATATATGTGGATGACTTTCGGTCTCAGCCCCTCCTCCCAAAATAAAAAAATGTAGATAATTTTTTTCATTGTTCCATATTTGTTTTTCTGAATGATCTAAGCTAAATACTTAAACAATCCCAATATGTTCTATTTTTAAATTATTGTTCCTGTAATTAGTTTTTTTTTTCCTTTTTCTTCCAGGGTTATTACAGTAACTTTAAAAATAAAAGGTTCCCCCAGAATTAAATCCTTGTTTCGCTATTTTATACAAATAACTGTTCTTCGCGGTTTCATCCCTGTCAAATATGGATTATACAGAGTTATTTTACACAAATAATTAGTAGTTTCATCTGATTAACTTATCAACATCCGAAATTTATGTAAAAAAATTAAAGGAACAATCATCAAAGAAAAAACTGATTAGACGAATACCATTCCACACCTTAATGTTTTTTTTTAATTTTTAATTCTGTTAATTTTGAACTATTTATATAGAACCGTACTTCAGCTTAAACATCTTGTCTACCTTTACCCGTAACCTTAACAGTCTTTAACTTACGGACAAAATATATTTACTGATTTTCTCCTCAGTCTGATCTAGGAATAAGGTAATAATTAATTACTTGTGAGAGAAATAGTCTCCAAATTCGACTCAACCATATTTTAAAGTTTGCCTCTGCCCTATTTTCCATATTTTTATGGTTAGCGCTCTGTTCCAATCTATATCTAACCCAAAAATATATTTTTAAATCAAACTGATAGTTTCTGAAATTAGCCGGTTAAAACTAAAAAACTCACTAGAATTTTATATTAGTAGACATTAAATTAAGTTTTACGAATAAAATTATTAAAATATTTAAAATTTAAATGTTATTTAAGTGGAGATCAGGTCTATTTCCTTTGTATTAAAAATATATATTAATTGCTTTTAATAAAACATAATAATATATTGATACAAATTAATATATTGAGAGCTGTTCTTTACTTTTACTGAGGTACGTTTTACTGCCTCAGACAGTTAAGATCGTCATATTTCAGCTTTGTATTGTTACGGTCTTTAATTTAGGAAAATCATTTCCGCAACAAACTTGCCGGATGCTGAGTGGAGACGGCAGGGTTCGCGAAAAAACAAAACAAGAAAATGAATGAAAAGTCAGTTAAATATTACTAACTATCTAACAGGCGCCACGCTATTTAATTGGTTGAATTTGATATCCTTAGCGTGCCTCAACACTCGCGAGGTTCCGCCATCTCTCTCTGAACTCTTTAGTTTTTCCTCCCAAGCATCTGTTGGTTATTTCAATCCGAAATAAAATTAATACTTAAAACTAGGACTTATTATGAACTAATATTTAGTATTAAAACTAATACTAATTAATTAATTTTATCTAACCCTCTTCGATGTAATAAAATAAAACATTACTTTACGAACTATTTTTTTTTTTTGTATCTTATTTTTCGTCGCAGTATTAACAAACGAAAAAAAAATTAAAAATACATAAAAGTGTGAATATAACAAATTGTTTTTAAATTATAGATTATTTAAATTATTTTTTAATCAGGTGGTGATGTGAAAAAATCACTCTTGTGGTCTGAAGAACTTGATGAAACCTTTATTACCAACTTTCATGCGGATCCGACTATGTCGTGGCAATATTTTGGAAGTTCTACTGGTTTCTTGAGGCACTACCCAGGTAAGTGGTAGTAATAATAATATGGCTTAGCGAACTCGAAGGTTCGATGCCGATATACAATTTCTAAGCACAATCCCGCCAGAAGCGGTCGAACCTCTAGATATTAATAATTAAGTATTCAATAGATATTTTCTAAATTTCTACACTCTCTAACTTTTTGGACCGCACAAATAATTAGCAAAGTATATTGGTAGTGGATAAATGACAAAATAATATAGTAATAAGCCAATGCAATGTATCACAGGCGGATCTAAGGTTGGCTTTCAGGCTGAAGCCCCTCCTCCCCTCCAAATGGTAAAATGTAACCATGTTTTATAGACAAAATTATTAAAAATTATCTTTTGAAGTATTATTGTTCGTATAATTACATTTAGTATGAATCCAAGAATTACTAAAACACCATTTCATATAGGTATTTAGTATTTTTCTTTTTTCTTCTAAATTAATTATTGTTATATATACATATATATATATATGAAAAAAAATCTTTCGGGCTAAAGCCCCTCCCTACAAAATTAAATCCTGGTTCTGCTAGTGCAATGTATCATGAGATGGAAGAATTAATTTTATTTTCCTTGGTCGATTACAATGGTTCATTCAGTATAGTTAACCAAAACATGTGTACAAATTACGATTGGCTGTATCTTTCCTAATATCCGTCCGAATTCAATGATTTTTTTTGGAGGGGGAGGGGACAGAAACTGTTATTTTTTTATTTTTTCAGAAAATCTCTAAAATTAAAAAAAAAATATTACGAATAGATTTTTCGTAAAGATTGTTCAGTACAATATTGAAGTAATTTAAAATATCTACAAAAATGATCCTCTACATGTTTTTGATAAAATCGATGGTTACGGCGATATTTATGAGATTATATTTATTGCATTTCCATCTAGCTAAAAATGCTCCAAATCACGAAATTTATGTTCTTAGTAGATGATACTTTTTGAAGTTTCTGTTAATTTTTTAACATTTTCGATCTTTTAATTTATTATTCAAAGATTCTTTCTTTTAGTGATTCTTCTTAAAAGTCATTGACAACAAAATTATATTCGATATAAATCAATGGAGACTTTCGTGATAATGATACGAAATTTAGATTTACATTAATTTCATATAATTGATAATATGTGATGGAAGATATTAAAACTTATAAAACGTTACCATAAAACATGGTCGGATTACATACAGAGAACCAGGAAACTTAAATATTGTAATTTTTAAGTCAACCATGTTTTATGTTGAACAAAAAGCAGTACTTAAAAAAATGTTTTATTTAGGTTACAACCAATTACTTTAAAATAAACTAGATTAAATTTACATTAAATGCAAGTAAGTCTTGTCTTTTTAAAGCCATGTAAAGGGACTTTTAAGCAGTTAAACTACGGTAAGTTCTGATTTTCATAAAATCAAGGATTCTTTGCGATTTATTTTGTGACCTCTCAACTGGAATAAAGATACCACACTTTCGGAAAAAACTCCTTGTTCGATGAGCTTTAAGGCTATATTAATTAAGTCCAGTTTACATTTTCTCTAATTGAGTAAAAATATTATTAGTACAGTAAAATTAGGAATCGACCCAAATATTTTTACATCTTTTAATCAATTAGGGATGGATTTAAACTCACTCTGTAACAAACCACGACTTAATTAATATAGACTTGAAGCTCATCAAACAAGGAAGTTTTTCTAAAAATGTGGTATCTTCAGTCCAGTTGGGGGCTTACAATTTATGATTTACAAAATAAATCGCGAAGAATCCTTGATTTGATGAAAACCCGAACTTACCGTAATTTAACTGCTTAAAAACTCCGTTTAAATGGTTTTAAAAAATACACGATTTACTTGAATTGAATGTAAATTTAATATACTTTACTATGAAGTAATTAGTTATAACCTAAATTAAACATTTTTTTGGTTATTGCTTCTAATACAACATTAAATGCGGTTCGCTTAAAAATTACAAAATTTATATGATTCTGTTGTCAATAACTTTGAATAATAATTTGAACGATCATAAATGTTAAAAAACTAATTAAACTTAAAAAATGTTCCGTCTACTATGAATAACATCAATTTCGAGCTTGGAGCAATTTTAGCAATGTGAAAATGCAATAAATAGAATCTCATAAATATCTCTGTAACCATTTATTTTATTTAAAAAATGTATAGGGTCATTTTTATAGAAATTTTAAAGTACTTTAATATTGTACTGAACAATCTTTACGATAAACTTCATAGTTTTTAAGATATTATCAAAAAATACCTGTTTTTTGTCTTTGCCCTCTCCCCCCATCAAAACCCGACGCGGTATTCCTTGTGACTTTTTACCAGTTACTATGGGGAGGCTAATGAACAATTTCTGATAAATTTCATCTTTATTTTTTGAATGTTGGTTTTGTGATTAAAAAAATCGTATTCTATAAATGAAACTTTAGTTGTGAAATGAGCTTTTTAAGAGAAAAAAGCTCATGCAATAAATGTTGCATTAACCTCGTATTTGAGTGAGTTACTAAATTTAATATTTTTTAAAATATTGCGATTTAATCAAAGAAACTTTAGCGGACCGGTCGAATTGGAGGTGCTTCCGATCCATGGGATCAATCATTGAATTTGATGAAGAATTAAAGAAGATATGTCATACCGACAAATAACACCTTTGTGAAATAATACCTAAGATGGAATTTTATTATAATATAATAAGTTTTGTAATAGTTTCGTATAATACTGGGTTTTACAATCTCACACCTTCCTACAAGATTGAGATGTAGTTATTTCGTTTTCATTGTATTTGAGGATAGAGGTGGGATAGCCCTACGCAATTTATTGAAAATTTCGTTATACCATTTAAATACTATTAAGTAGATTTTCCTTTATTAATTCCAATTCATTTTCAAGTACATAGTTCATTTTTGGTTTATTATTTTTAATAATGAACCATTGTAATCGAACGAATAATTCAAAAACTTACCCCTCTTTCAAAATTTGAGGTTTTACGTTTCAGGATACGTAGGATTCGAAAAACGAATATTTTCTCCGAAACTACTGGACCGATTTTTTTCAAATTTGGATTTAAAGTCAGAGGTCACCCGAGGATGATCTTCCTTTATCGACCCTACTATCAGCCTTTTTCTTTCAAGATGGCGGCTGAAAAACCTGCGTTGTTATAGACTGTAGCCCCTAAACGAATGTATCGATTTCAATGAAACTTGGCTAAAGTATTCTTCGCGATGCCCTTTAAATTTACCTATATGACATACTTTAACGAAAAGAAGCTGGAAAAAAGGTACGAGGGATGGTAAAATTAGATTCCGAATAACTCAAAAAGTATACACTTTTTGTTGATATTATGATAAGATGTTTCATAGGTGTTTAAATTTCTTAAAAATGAAAAAAGTTTCGTCGGAATCAGAACACTATTAGCGAAGATATCGATTTTTAAATATTTTTGGTTTATTATTTTCTATAATGAACCACTGTTCATTGAACAAAAATTAAAACCTTAATTCCCTCTCGAAATTTGAGGGTTTACGTTTCAGGATACTAAGAATTCGAAAAACGAATGAAAATCTTTTTGTCCGTCTGCCGTGCGCGCATTTTTTCCGAAACCTGTTTGGTGTTTTTTAAAAAAAAATTGTGAAATTTCCTAAAAAATCGGACAATTTGGAGCAAAGATATGGTCTCTAGATGTTTTTAATATGTTCTACTGCAAATAAGTTGTTTTGGATTTTGAATGTGTTACTGAAGTAATGCTATTTTTTATTTTAGAAAACTATAATGAACAAACAAATGTTTTGGCAAATAATTGTAATCACATTTTATTTCTTTTCATTTGTCACTAGGAAGGTAATGTTACTTTAGATGTATATATTTTTCGGAAATAATAAACCTTTGTGAAATAATTTGTAGCGTTTTTTTAATGTAAATATTTCCGGTTGTGTTTAAGCCTTGCACTGGAATGACAGCGCTGATGTTTTCGATTGCCGGACAAGATTTTGGTACATCGAAGCCGCAACCTGTTCCAAAGATATTCTCATACTTATCGACAGTTCGGGCTCCATGGCAGGAATGAAAAGGACGATATCCCAGCTCACAGTTCGTACTCTATTGGATACCTTCAGCAATAACGACTTCATTAACATATTCAGCTTCAATGAAGAAATTACAAGACTGGTTCCATGTTTTCCTAAGGATATGCTTGTACAGGTAACTGCAAAATCTTCATTTAAATACATTATAATTTCTCAATTAAGGAGATGGTATAATATAGAGGTAATAAACATTAAATAGTAATGAAGTATTAATGATCTATGTGAAACGCTTGATGAAAAGAAACGAAAATAATTAAAAATAAAGAGGAAGTATGATCAATATAAAATAAAGATAAATATGGCATAATAATATAATATAGAATAAATTAAGGAGATAGCATAATGCAAAGATAATAAATATTAAGTAAAAAATGGAGTATAACTGGTCTACGTGAAGTGTGTGTGTGAGAAAGAGAGAGAGAGAGAGAGAGAGAGAGAGAGAAATACTTTATTTAAAGCAGTGCTGTCCTACTATATAGGGTTGCTCGATACACAGCATACTCATCAATCTTTTTTTTTTTGACATACAAATTATATACAAATTCTTTTTCGTATTATACAGCACAAACAATATCAATACTATAATATACTAATAAACAGAATTACAATTATACAATATATTATATATACATATTTCGGTGAAACCGATACAAGACAATTTCTAAAATTTATAGGGATAAAAAAAATATATATATAGTATTCGAATGCCAAAGTTTTAACACCAGAGAATTAGAACGCACACACAGCAAGTAACATAGTCCTATGAACATAGACAAAACGATATGATCAATTAAATAATTTAAAATTTAATAAATAGATAAATAACGATAATCAACCCCTAATTACCATATATGTGATGATGAATGATCCCAAGGGAGCCCAGAATAATACCCTCGGCCAACACTGCAAGCTCCCCGACATCAACACCAAGTTCCTAGAAGAAGCTCGTTGTTCTTTTGGGAATCATTCCGCGAGACCCAAACCAGAGAACTCTCTCTCTCCGATGGTCTCGCGGAATTTCTCTTTTAGGAAAGGAATGCATTTCTCAATTAATGATCAAACGAAATCAAGAAAACGAAAATGAATTAAACTAAAGAGAAATAACGAAGTTGTCAGCTAAAAGGAAAAAGGAGATTGTTATGGATGTTATGATAAATTCAGAATTTGAGAATAGGCTAAGGATAAGTTATGTTTGTCTGTTTTTAGATTCACTGTCTTAGGTTGGAGCTGGATATGGAGGGTTTCAGAGATGAGTAGTTTGTCATGGTTAGGGATTGAGGCAAGGATGGAAGTTTTGTCGAAATCAAATGTATGGTTTAGGGAGAGAGAATATTCGGATAATTTGGAGGCGGCAAAATTACGAGAGGATGCAGAATATTTATGTTGGGTGATGTGATCTTTTAGAAGATTTTTGGTTTCACCAATATAAAATGAAAAGCAATTAGGGGCACAACACGAGATTTGAAGGCTTAGTTAAGACTTAGTTAGTGAACTTACTACTTAGTTAGGGTTAGTAGATCGTAAAACTTTGTTTATGTTGTCAGAAAGATTAGGAATATATGGTAGAGATCTGTATATAGAAGCCGAAATGGGTTGTGGAGAAATAGTGGAGATCGAGAATAAGGAAGGGCGATTATTGTGGTGTTTTATGAGTTTGTTGATGGCATGAAAAAGAAAATTATTGTTTGACAGGACTTGTTTAATACGTTAGATATTGGTTACATGAAATTAAGGATCGGAGAGGGAGAGACTTCGGTGGATAAGATTTTTAGCAACATTAATTTTTTTGTGGTAAGGATATAATTTCTCAATTTAGATGAAAACTATATCGATACGATTTATGTCATAACATAAATATGAAACGACTCAGAGGATAGTTACGATTTTACCGAATATGTTTCTTGCGTAATACTTTATAATCATTGGATCTAACTCTGTTATTTAGTGTAGCAGACAATCTGGTAAACAGCCAACTCTAGCGAGTTTATTTTTCGCTTGTCCGTTAGAGAATGAAAGTCGACCTTTACTGATAATAATCACTTATGAAAAACACGCAATATTTTTGTAATATATTCATAATTTTGTTTTTAGCTATACAGCGTTTACGGATAAAATTTTTATATATTTTCTTGACTCGTTCTCACATTTAGTAGCTGAAGTACATACTTTTTAGTTTACAATTATAATATATTATAATTGCCTAAGTATTTGGCAGAAATCACTCATAGAAACCAAAATGGACGAATGAAAAAATAAATTATATTGTAAGGAGGATTTAACCCGAAAATCCCCCACCCTTGAATCCACTAGTGCTAGATAACGACCTATCCGCTATCCCTCCTAAGTCCTGTAAGAAGTTTATAAAATACTTTATTGTTTTTCTTTCTATTTTACTTTAAGTTTTGGCCAAAATCTTTTAAGAATGTTGATCATTTATGGAAAAAAATCTAATTTATATAAATTTCTTCCTGTGATCTGGGCAAACCTCTCTATTATATAAAAACATTTTTAGTGACTTTCATCTTTTATTTTAGTATTAGGACAATAGGAGATAAAAGGAGCTCAACTTTTCTATGCTCGATAGTGCTTCTCTCCTATGGCGATTATTTTACAAATCATACAACTGTTAATATAATTTCATATGTGTTGAGCTCCTGTTACCTCCTACATTCCTAATACAAAATAAAGATTTTAGACTAATCATTTGTACTGAAAATGGTTGGTATTCATCTGGGCGTGGTTGTTTAATAATTTTAGTTTTAGTTTAATAATTATTTTTATTTTAATAATTAATAATAGTTTAGTAATTTTACCTAGATGACAGCAGTATTTTGTGATGTAGACATTTTCCCTTAAATACGATATATTATGTATAATATTATTTATATTATATTGCACGGGCGGATCTACGGTGGGAGGGGAGCTTTGGGCTGAAGCCTCCCCCCCATGAAAATGGTAAAATGTAACCATGTTTTATGGAAAAAAAATATTAAAAAATTATCTCTCAAAGTATTATTGTTCGTGTGATAACATTTAAAAGGACTTTAGGAATCACTTAAACGCCATTTCATATAGGTAGTTAGTTTCTTTCTTTTTGTTCTAAAGTAATAATCGTTATTTTTATGAAAAAAAAGCTTTTGGGCTGAAGCCCCCCCAAAAAAATAAATCCTGGATCCGCCAGTGTTATATTGTGATATAATTATAATTATTATGAAACAGAAAAGGAAGCACAATATAACGTAAAATGAAAATATTAGAAATAAAAGGCTCAAATCATTGTTGGATGAAAATCATGGCTTATATGAAACTGGACAAGTTGAATATATATTATGGTTACAAGTTGGCAAAAAGAATAATTATAATTATATAATAATTTAAATTGGCAAGAAGTATAATATAGATTATTAAAGAAATTAAAATTTTGTCCAAACTGTGATTTATTTCAGATTATTTTATATTGATAAAAAATAATACAATCTGAACTGCAAAATACATGTAAATTAAAATTATACAATTTGAGCAACTAGTAGTAAAATTAAATGAAAATTTGTATAATTTGTAAAATAGGGGTTGGTCCGCGTTAGGCGGACAGAGGGTACCTCGCTAGTTACTTAAAAAGTAACATTATTTTCTCTTTATAAATTACAGCGCATGTATTTCAGCTACTAGACATTAGCAAACGTCAACAAAAAAAATATCTCTCAAAACATTAATGTTCTCACAATGTTTTTTAAACGGGCTTTAAGCTCCACTTAAACATTATTTTACATGTTTTTTTTCCCCCTTTTTCTTCCAGACTAATTAATGTTATTCAAAAAAAAAACTAAGCCTTTCAAAATTAAATTCTGAATCCACTACTGTCTCCAGGTAAAAAACAAAAATATGCAATCATTTTTGAAAAAAAATTTATTTCGAAGCGTTGAACAAAATTAATTATAAATATATTCTCATAAAATTATGTTAAAGTTAATTAATATAAAAATTAATAAATAAACCCGTACCACTACAACCCATAAGGGGTCTAGGGTTCTGTACTTTGTAAGAAAGCGCTGTTTTTTGCCAAAGGTTCCAAAGGATTGTATATACGTATGATTGTGTTTTTAATTTATTTATCTTTAAGTTGTTTTATTTTTTAATGTACATAGTTTTTGATTATTACTTTACTTTTGTTAATTTTATATTTTCTGTATATATGGTATGAATGGGTTATATCATATATCACTATAATTATTGTCCGCGTGACAGATTGTTATATATCTAAATAAATATAAATAAAAATAAAAAAAAATAGTCTGAAATGTCTTCTAAATTAATGATATTTTAGAATTCGATGGATTTTTAATTCATACTCGACTTAATTATAACATTATAATTGTTTAAATTAATATATAAAATAATTGACTTAAAACATTAACGTTATAAGAAAGGTTATGATGACGAGACATGATTTCCTAAAGACCTTTATGAAGTTTATATTTTTTCTTCAATTACTAGAAACGAATTTCTCAAAATTGAGAAAAGATTTTTCAAATTACACCTTAATGTATTTTTTATTTTACTTTTCATATCTCGTTAATGGAAGTTTTCATGATTTGTTTCAGGCTACTCCAGAAAATATCCTGTTATTCAAAGAAGCAGTTAAATTAGTCAACGTGTCCGACAAAGCTAATTTCAGGAAGGCACTTTCAACAGCTTTTGAATTAATGACTAAAGTACGTCAGTAATGTTACTTTTTGATAAAAAAAAATATCTTTAAGTAAATAGTTATTTTGTTCCAAATCACAATTATTTAACAAAATTTAGAAGAACCTATAGCTCGCCACACTGTGAGTCTCAGTGAGTTTTTTGACCTTTCTAGACTCTGTTTAGTTCTCCGGGATAGCTAATTATAAACTGTTCAGTGTGGCCGGTATAGGGTTCATCAACGTTTTTGTATAATACATCTGATTTAAAAAATAATAATACTAATACATAATGAAAATATCACTAATAGAAATATGATAATGTGTGATTATGTTTACTTGTATATCGGAATTTAAAATTTTTTTTTTATTTTTAGTGATAACAGTCTTAATTTTTAATGCTTTTTTTTTCCTTTTTTGTCAATATTTCAAATTTTAAAGCTTGTTTTCCTTCTTTTTTCAGGTATATAATTTTATTTCAAAAGAGAACAATGATAAATTTTTTATTTACATAAATGGGATTCCTAAGACATTTCACTACTTCGGGGCAGTTAAATATAACTAAGGCCTTATATTTACCTTTAATTACAAATAAATTAACAGATATTATAAACAAATAGAGTTATGAGTTGATGGGAAAAGAGGATGATAAGTCTTCATTACGTAGCTAGGTTCAAATAAAACATACCTGTGGTGCAACAACACTTAATACACTACACATATTCCAGTCAATGAATGATTATAGAAGGAAAAGGTGGGGACACAATTTTTGACTTTGAGACATTGTTTGGACTAGTAAGGAGGTAAACATACTAAAAGTTATCACTCTTAAGTGGTGAGCCAGATGTGGAGGAGGCGCATAGAAGGTCTTTTTTTTCTGACTTTCGCTTATTTCAAGAAAACTATCCATCGCATAGACAAACACGTTCTATACAAAATTAAAGCTTATAAAATTTTCAATATGATTGATCATACATGTTTTTCTCTATCTCGCTTGGTTTCCGAGATATCCGTCCTCAACTATCGCTAATGTGGGAAAAAAAAGTTTACCTAATGTTCTTTACTGTATTTGACTAGCTAATCCTTGATTGCTTTGTTCTACAATCAAGTCATACGCCAAAAAGGTTTTTAATAATTAAATTTTCTTTTAGAATATATATTATTTTATCTTCAATAATTTAAAAGTTTGATCAATTATAACTTTCTGAGCCAATTTCGAGAATTTGGAAGAAAAGTTAATTTTTTATAATAATTATTAGTAGAAGTGCAATATAACTCCAACACTCTATGCTTCTAAATTTCTACGTATATACATACATAAAATAACATATATTATAAAAATTATTTTTTCTACGAATTTTCGGAATTGAGATAAAAAGTTATTATTGATCTCATTAACTAAACCGTTAACGATGAAATAGTAAAATAATATATATTGTAAAAGAAAATTTAATTATTATAAACGTTCTTCTCCATGACTTAATCGTAGAACGAAGCGATCAAGGGTTAGCTAGTCAAATACAGTAAAAAATATCTTCTTATTTTTCTTTTTTTTAGGAACCCTACGTTTATATATTTTTTTCATAGTTAAGGCAAGGATGTGTAATACCAAAAAAATATAAAATGAATGTGACAAATATTTGAATTTTTGAGAAATGGTGGCACATCAAAAAAAACAAGGTAAATAATTTTACAATAGATGAAGTAGATTGGTACTGTAAAAATAGTTTATTTAAAATGTGCATAGTTTCTGTGAATATAAGGAAGGATTGCTCTGATGATGGGAAAATTGTCCCGAAACGTTAGAGATATTAAATGTGATTAAAGGGATTTGAAGGAAATTGGAAGTAATTTTTGCCTTAACTATGAAAACAAGTAAAAAATATAAGGTAAACAATTTTTTTTCCACATTAGCAATAGTTGAGGACGAATATCTAGGAAACCACGCGAGATAGCAAAACAATATATATATATATATATATATATATATATATATATATATAATCAATCATAATGAAAATTTTACTAGCTACAATTTTGTATAGAACTTCTTTGCCATTTCCATGGATAGTTTTCCCGATCTTAGCAAAAACCCGAAAAACAGCAATAAACATGACGATTTTTTTTTTTTTCAATATTAGCCATAGTTGAGGACGGATATCTTGGAAAGAAAGAGATGTAGCGAAAAAAGGCATATAATTAATCATAATGCAAATTTTATCAGCTTTAATTTTGTGTAGAATGTCTTTGTGGATGCGATGGATAGTTTACCTATTATAAGCGAAAATCCGAAACAAAAGTGACATTCTTGGTACCCTTCTCCCTCCCCCGTTATCTGTCTCATCACTCAGAAGTGGGGACTTTTAATATTTTTACCTCCTTACTAGTCCAAACAATGTCCCAAAGTCCAAAATTGTGTCCCCACCATTTCCTCCTATACCTCCTTTTTGTGCATTCAAAGACTGGCCTAACAGTCACTTTGCAGTTAACCTGTTAATCTTAGCTAAAAAATCATAGTTAAATATAATTAGGTTAATTAAAATTTAAAGTTATCTCCTTTGAAGCTAATCTATTTATTGTCCATAATCAGCGGCTTAACTAGGAAGAAAGATAAGGAGGGAGGGGGGTTGCTTATTTTGTTGCAACAAATAAAAATAATGATATAGTTTTTTTCATGATCAAACAAGAACGTTATTTTAAAAAAAAAAATTGTCTTTTCTGATTTTATTTTAGGGAGGCTTTAAAAATAAACACGCTCCGGAGCCCAATTGTCATAGTACTCCACTGCTTGTAATTTTAAATATTAAAATATAAAACAATATTTGCAACTATGTTATTTTAAATAATAATTTTCTTTTCTTTATTATAATAGAATATAAAAAAAAACTCGTAAAACAAATGATAAATATAAGCTAATTTAATTACATACACATACATTTATTTATAGTGACCACAAATAGATTATAACTCACGCATTAAACGGATGGGTACATGATCAGTTGATATTTCAGATGTTTCTGGGTATTGTTGCAGTATAGAAAGCAGAGACAATGCTATAATGACATTTGCAATCAAGCCATTATACTAATAACTGACAGCGTGCCAGAAAATACGACAGAAATATTTCAGAAATATAACTGGTTTGAGAATAGAACGAGAATACCAGTTCGAGTATTCACCTACTTGATTGGAAAAGAGCTTTCTAATGTCGATGAAATAAAAAACATGGCTTGTTTGAACAGGGGTAAGTAATAGATATTTATGATTCAACTCATATGTTCTTATCCACTTTTCATTTGTTTAAATGTTATAGGCTAATTACAAATAAACAATATTTTATTCATGTATTAGCATTTCGGTTATCGAAGTCTTATTCTAATAAATGTTCACAAATATCACGATTGACTTCTAAACAATTTTGCCTTCGTCTCCAAAAGATGACAGTAAATCTCCCGATTGTTTCATATCTCCCTTTAATGGCGCCCGCTGCGTTTTCAATACGTTGAATTAGTGCATCACAAGTTCCTACTTTTAGTTTTTATACTTCACATTTTAACTGTGAGTTCTGTAAGTCTTAGAGATCAACTGACTGGACCACCGGTACCAATCTTTTTTTTTATTTATTTTATTTTTTTTATTGAGTATCAATACAGTCTGCCACACTGAAGGGCATTAGTACTAGTGCTATAGTATTCATTCACACAATATGTACATAAGAAAGGAAAATAAATATAAATAACAAAGTAAGAAAAAAATATATATACAAATAAAAAGATAAAATAATATAAAAGATAAGTAAAATAACAGATTAAAGCCGAATGATAATAAAAAAATAAATAAAGCACATTCATACCTATGTACAATATTTACATTGGCCTAGGGGACTCTGAATCAAGCTTTGTCCACCAAATGTGGAAGCCAAAGCAGGTCTCCAGGAGATCCCAGTGCTTCTCTCACAGCCGTGTCACTGGTATAGTAAGCCAGTGGAGACTGATGGAGAGCACTAGACCAACAGACGCTCAGGACTTGAGTGAAGAATATGGCCAGTGCCAGTACTCCAATATATACATATTTACAAAAGGTCGCGAGGCCACTGCCGCTTTAGCCTCCGAGGAGGATTGTAGGGATGACTGGAGCTAGATAGAGACTGTGCTACAGGATTAGGATGATGAGTGAGGTTCTGGTGAAATTTGTAAAATTTGTTTGGGAGTAGGTCAAGTAAAAATGAGATCTTAAGGTCATTATTTAGGGTTTTATTGGTTACATAAAAGGGAGCATCGACTACTGTTCGAAGAACTTTAAACTGGAAGGATTGAATGCGTTTGATGTTAGAAAGTTTTGCTATTTCCCACAGTTCGAGTCCGTAGGTCCAGATAGACATCAATCTAAAGATCTAAAAAAACTTTCATCCAAATGTTGCCTCACCTGAGAAGCAAAATGATCGGGAACTCTGCCATAGTGCATTTGCATTCTAATGTTCAGTGAAACATCCTCTGATAGTCCTTGTAATTCAAATCGTAAAAAAAATAAGTAGTAGATTCCTATTTATTTATATTCAAACGAATCAAATTTAAATAAATGAAAATCGGATAAGAAGACATAATATTTTTTATTATTATTTTCCTGTGTGCAACCCACTCTTGGAGTTTGGCCCCTACCTTCAGACTCACCCTGTATAACTAAACGTATTACCAATTCCATAAAATCTTATTATTAGTAACAATGTTTATATTCATACGATAAGTGTATAGCTTTCCTATTGTACAAATTCAAGCTAGCAAAATAAATTGATTAATTAACAGGGTACTTCGGCCATATAAAGTCGTTGGAAGAGGTGCGAAGTGAAGTATTGAAGTATCTCAACGTCATCGCTAGGCCAATGGTTCTCCAAATGGTAGAACATCCACTCTCTTGGACGCATTCTTTCGTCGATGCTACTGTACGTATAACATCCTAAATAATTCTGTATGTGCTGATGTTCGTTCGTGATGAATGTGTAATCTGCTTTAGGGAAATTTGGATACTAGGTCCTCGTCTAAAGAATACAGATTTATGACATCAGTTTCTGGACCAGCCTTCAAGATTCCTAGTGAAAAAGCTAATGAGGTAAGTTTTAACCTGTTTTAAAATTGTCAAAACCAAAGGTTGAAGCCTGCCTTAAATTAACTCGTGCAATCATCATTTTTTTCAGACGGTGCTTCCAGAACTTTTGGGTGTTGCTGGAACCGATGTGCTGATTTCAGATATAAAAAGTCTAACTCTACCATATAAGGTAATCTATTTCAATCATTAACTGTGATTGCAATAAAGTAAATAATTATTCTGAAAATTATTTATTAATTAAAACATTGTTTAAAAATATTTTTTTCATAAAAGATAAAAAAATCACACGAGAGGATGACACCCTAAAATATTTTTATTTATTTAAATTGTAACTAAATAAATAAAAATATTTTAAGGTAGAGCCCTCTTGCACTAGCGGATCCAGGATTTAATTTTTTTTTGGGGGGGGGGGAGGGCTTCAGCCCGTAAGATTTTTTTTTTTCATATACACAACAATAATTAACTTGGAAAAAAAAAGAAAGAAATTAACTAACCATATGAAATGGTGAGTGAAGTGATTCTTGAAGCCCTATTAAATGTAATTACACGAATAATAATACGTTAAGAGATATTTTTTAATATATTTTTCTATAAAACATGGTTATATTTTGCCGCTTCAGCCGGAAATCCCCCCTCCCCTGTAGATCCGCCTGTGTCCTCTTGTGGGATTTAAAAAAAAATAAAATATTCTAAAATGTATTAATGTAAATACTAACTTCCTTATAATAAAGGTATAAATAAAGATAATTGACTTATACCATAGAAATCAAAAAATATAATCAAATTTTGGTAATGTTTTAAAAGCTTCTATGTCATGAAATGCCTTTAAACTGTGACATTATCTCATATGAATAATGTAAACACGATGACATGTTCAAATGCTTGCATTGAAGTAAATAATTTCTGTAAATAAACCTTGCATTTTTACATCGTTCTTTGTTTACAGATTGGCGCTAATGGATACGCTTTTGTTATCACAAATAACGGCTACATACTTTTCCATCCCGATTTAAGACCTATTGTAAGTACTATAACGTTTGTTAATCGTAATTTGTTTTTAAACCTGATAGAAATTAAAAAGAAAATACCAATCTTAGATGCTGTAGAAAATTATTTAATATTTAAAAGTGGTCATTATTTTTGTGTCAACCTGTAGTTGAGTCAAAATCATGGGCGTAGATAGGAATCTAGTCGCCTGATGCTGAAATATTAATAAACAGATTGTTTTTTTTTTCTGTTGACATTGCATACCTTGTAGATCTTTTACCATCTTAACCCTTTTAAACCTTAAAGCCTTTTCCATCTCTGCCTATCTTCAGCTAATGCTTTCAAGTTATTCCCATGTTGCTCTATTGAATCCTTGAAGATTCGATCTATCCATCTGCTATTTTGCCTTCCAGGTGGTCTCTTAATATATTTTTTTTATTATTGCAATTTACAACTTTATTAAATGATAAATACAACAAATAAATATGAAACAAGTAACATGACATGTACAACAAGAAGAGAAACTACCCATTGGTAGCACTCCAATTATATTTCTATATTAGAAGGTCTATATCAGGAATAGAAGAAGAAGCAAGGTTGAAAACCAAGAGGGTTCGGATGATTTAGAAGTTTATGGAAGGATAGGTATCAGGATTGAGCTAAATCGGAAACATATGGTACATTAAGGTCGTTATGGAGGAATTTATTTGTGGCAAAGTATGGAGCATTAAGGATTTTCCGAAGGATTTTGGATTGTAAGGATTGGATACGAGAGGAATTTTATGGTTTAGTAGAGTCCAAATAGGCCTTATTATAGTAATATATATTAGTCTTTTGTAAATAGTGCAGTAGTCGGAACCGTCGGGCGGTTTCTAGTCGTTTCAGTCTGGTATGGGGGTTCCTAGTGAGTCATTTGTCCAGTTGGAGTCCTAAGTATTGGATTTGTTCAACAGGGATAAGTGGGGTATTGTTAAAGGATACTGTAGGACAGGAAGTCATAGGGTGTACGATGAAGATTAAAGATAATTTGATGGGATTTATTTTCATCCTCCAGTTTTGATACCATTTTTCAAGACTTGTGATGCGTGATTGAAGAGTTTGGGATGCAATATATGGATCGTTATTAACTGATAGGATACACGTTTCATCGGCATAGGTGGTGATGACAGTGTTGGAAGAATTAATATTAAATAAAAATAAAATGTTTCTTTTAAACATTTGTACTTGGAAGGTAACTTATATTTGTTATGTCAGATTCCACCAAACACCTACCTGGTTCTCTCTCCCCCTTTCACCCTTCTCTCCTCAGAAAATTCGGTTAGCTACACCATTCATTAAATAATAAACTATAGTAGTTCTATTTGGTTTCTAGCTTGTGTTTGTATATGGTTTGTTTATGAACAATGAAATTTAATTAAAACAGAATAAAAAAGAGAAAATCACAAGGATATTATTTCTCATCATAGAAACCATTAGATTATTAATCAATACAAATTATAATTTATTTATTTATATAGGCTCTGAATCCTCCCAAAAAGATTTTAGATGATTGATTCAGCTTTTTGTTTTTCTTTGAATTCGTAGTGCTCGATAATAATTTTTATTAGACGGTTAATGTTAGGTATAAAAATAGTTAAATCAAATTAGAATTAATACATTCTTGATAATTGGAATTATTAAATATGTTAATTATTTTACAGCACGATGGCGAAGTAAAGCCCAACTACAACAGTATCGACTTGACAGAGGTCGAGTTGCTCGACGATCAAGTCACGGAGCCTCGAAAACCTCATGAAGATATATTGAAGGTGAAAAGCATGAGACATTTGACGTTTAGAAAGATATGATACTAGCACGGATATGTGCCCTGTAATCAATGCAAGGAATGGTGAAAGAATAAAATTTGATAAATTGTTTAGCCAGTTTTGTCCAAAGCTCTCGCAAGTTTCTCTTTAGATAACTGTACAGAGACTAGTTGAATTTTTTTAAAATATTATTATTATCTTTTTCAAAGCCGGTTATAACCACTGAAGTAAAAAAAAAAGGAAAACACTGGTAAATCGAAAAAAAAAATCTGTCTGGTTATTTCCATCCCTTGTAAATTGGAGTAATTCCTCCAACCATGAACAGGTACCAAAATCAGTAGCTACTTCACAGGAAATTTCTGGATCAAATTTACTATTATATGCAGTATTACTTCATCTTCAACTATATTATTAGGTTGGCAAATAGTCCTTTCGGTTTTTATGTTTATTTTTATGTCAATATGATACACTTCTTATTTGATGAATTAACCCCTAATGTGGATTGTTTTTACTGTTTGTAATATTTCTACAACTATAACTGTTAACTTTTGTTGAAACTAGCTTAGTATCGTGTTTGCTATTGCACTGTGAATATGGAAGAAAATATCATTCATTATTGGCATATTTATTTGTATTATTTAAAAAAAAGTAAGCGTGCTGCAGAAGCTTATAAAAAAATTTGCAGTGTTTATGGGGATGATGCCTTAAGCGAACGCACCTGTCAAAATTAGTTTGCCAAATTTCATTCAGGAAATTTTGACATCAATGAGAATCAAAGGTCTGGTCGCCCACATGAAATTGAAACGAGCAATGTTTGATCAAAAGCCCACCCAATTAGTGCGAAAGATTGCTATGGCACAAAATGTGTCGCACATAAGCCTACATGGCACAATGCTATGTTTCCAGGCTTATTGCTTGGGTCACTCACATGATTTTTTTTTTTTCGAAAATCACAAAAGATGTTTTAACTTCAATACGACTTTAAGAAGAAATTCAGTAGCGATATAAGGAGTTTTTTTTTTGCCTTATGTAGACGTTAAATCAAAAAACCATTCATACGGCTTTGGAGAGCAATAATTCAGCCTTCCAACGGATATAGTAACATCGAATTTGGAGAACATCCTGAAGCATTATGAATGATCGGAGGGGTGTTGTATTCCATCAAGACAACGCTAAGCCCCACATCTCATTGGTCAATCGCAATAAATTATTGAGACTTGGATAGTACCTCCTCCCCCCCTCCCGAATGGTAAGAAATTCCAAAAGGAAGAGGACATCAAAAACCGCTTGGATCAGTTTTTAACAATAAACTCCAGACATTCTATAGCATTAGGCAGTTAGAGGAAAGATGGAAAAAAGTCATTTTAAATAATGGTCAATATATTGTAGATTAAAATGAATTTTATGTCTGTAATACACTGAGTTTTATTTCACCCTGAAAAAACCAAAAGGATTTATTTGCCAACCCAATGTTTAATATTTGATTGAATCTTGGTTTATAATATTGATTTTATTATTTCACCTATAATTTATCTCTGAGCTTTTATTTAAATAAAAGGCTAAAAAAGTTTCTAAATAGCACATTTAAACTTTGTTAACTATTAATAATCGTTGAATCATGTAACTTTATTATTTCAAATATGTGTATTTTTTCTTGTAGTTGCGTGAAGTAATGGTGAATGGAACGGAAGGTAGCACACATGGATTGAAAATCAAATTTCATTATGATGATATGGTAAATAAAGTTTAATTGTTTTTCAATTATCAAATAACTTATGCATTCATCACAGTAGATTTATTTTGTATTTTAAGAAATAAAATATAAATTCCATTGTCTGTCACTGTGTTTTCTTTTTAAAATACAATAAAAAGTACTTTATTTTATTTCCAAGATAGTAAAATACAAAAGATATACTTTATTTTGTATTCTATATAAACAGATTAAATTGCCAAATAGAGTAGGTTCCCAGTATTATATGCTGATCTCCCACCAGAAAATATTTTGTATTTGTATTTTGTTTTTTTGTAATCAAGATACAAAATACTTTTAGTATTTTGTAACTGAAATACATTTTAAATATTTTGTAATTAAAACATATTATATTTTAAAGACACAAAATACATTGTATTTTAAAATTCTTTATTCTCAGGTGTACATGAATTATAGGTAACTTTGTGACTAATAGAAATAGTGAGGAAGCACTGACCCTATTTTTTTTTGTATTTATTTATTTATTTATTTTTTTTAGCAATTATCACTTTCTCTTTAACTAAAATTGTTGATGAAATAAAATTAATATTTAATTTAACATTGATGCTATAGTCTATTTTGATAATTTAAACGACTTATATTGAATTATTATTTTTGTTTATTCATATGAATTGTATTAATTGTATACAGTATTAAGTAATACAAATGTTTCCATTTATTTTAGAGACGCGTTGGTGTAGAAAAGAGAAATTACTTTTATGCTCCTCTGAATAATACACCATTCACGATGGGCCTTGTTCTACCACATTCCTATGGCAACTTTTGGGTAAAAGCAGGGGATGAAATACTCAAATCCAGGCAGATGGGTAAGGAAACAATATATATATAATATTCTAATCTTTATTAGAAGAGTTACTTAAAAAATCATTTATTTAATTTTAAACAATACTTTGGCGAAGCAGTTTGCCAATTTTCTAATGGGTACCACCAGACTTCCCATTTCGGCCCAAGAGAAGGCAGTTGATGCATTTTTCCACTTTTCGAATAACTACCACTTTTCTAATAATTCGATTTAATAATTACAGATATAATTAGAAAATTTTTAAGTAGTAATTTTTCATACACATACACATATTCGTAAAACGGTTTTTGATCATGAAATGACTATTCTGTATCTCAAAATATCTTATTACGGGCCACACAAAATAGTCATGAATAATTAACATCGGCTTCATTACAGGTTCTCGAGAGCGGCCTTTTTTCTTTTCTGCTCAGTCCGGTGTCCTTCCTAGGATTGTTCTTACTCTTTAGAACTTGAAGTTCTCAGATCCTTCTGCAGTTTTACATTCGTACAAAAGTTTTTTTTTTTGTAGTAGTGGTAGCTGTGTTCTGTCATTAGGAAACGCGATTACCGTGTGGACTTGAAGTCCGATTTCCTTCAGAAGCTTAGCCCACAATGCCCCGCAGGCAATTCAACATGACGTGCTCAGCTGTCTTCTGTAGCCTGCTTAAAGTGGCACAAATAATCTAAACCTTTCCAAGGCCATGGACGTAGCTCGAAACCCTGCAAGCTTCGTAAGGAATTCCGAAACCTAATATTACATCAGGACTTACTTTGTTTCCAAACGTGTTATTCCTATCATCCAGCACTTATCAAACTAGTGATTAGATTTAGATATAACTTGTAGATGATTTTAATGGAATGTCATTTTTGTTATGGTTGCTGATTATTGAACACTTTTTAAAATTGTTTTCTTGTAAACAAATTTTTAATTTAATTGATATTTCAGGTATTCCGGTGAGCTCATTCTTCAAAGGAAACTGGAGAATCCACCCAGAATGGTGAGAATACAATAATCATTCTATTATTTTTTTTTTAATTACGTACGCAATATAGCAATGGCATAAAATTTACTAGTGTTGTAGTTAGTCTACTTAAACTAGAATCATATTCCTAATTAGTGTGATGAACCTTTTTAATCCTGTCAGTTTTGGTATTCACATATGGCGTGAGTGAATAATCTCCATTTTAAATTTGTACATAACGTGCTGAGAAACCACCAAATAAGTCTTTTATTTCAACTTGTATTAATCATTATTAAAAATGAATCATTTTAAGTTCTAAATCAGTAAATTATTCGTAACATTGTCCAAATAGTTATATTCAGACTTGGACAGTTTAAAAAATAAATAAATAAAATACATTGTTTGTATTTTAAGAAGTAAAATATGAAATACATTGTTCGTACAAAATAGAGTAGGTTCCCTGTATTATATGCTGATCCTCCACCATAAAGTATTTCGTATTAATTATAATACAAAATACTATTAGAATTTTATAAAATACATTTTCTTTTGTACACTTTGTATTTAAAAAAACCAAAGCACACCGTATAATAAAATCATATTTATACTACATTTTCCTTAAATCTAGTTATGTCCATGGAATCTTTCTGTTAAAACTATGAATGTTTTTAAGTAATAACATGGAAGCACTCTTTAATTTTTGTTATACATCTCCTGCCGACTGACAAATAATCTTTTTTTTCCAGGGTTTATTGCGACTACCACAGAACCTCAGAGAGATGGTTTAACAGTTCTGAAGACAAATTATTACATTTTCTCGAGAAAATTTCAGCTCCAGGCTGGGAATGGAAAGATATATTTTCCGCTGAAGACGACAGTGAAAGCCGTGAGTAAAAGTACTGATAAAAAAATAAATCACTTACTCCAGACGGTAGAATTTTGAGGATACCAAATTTCGGAAAAAAAAAATTGTTGGATTTATTAAGCAAATATTTGTTTCTAATCTTTGATTTTTTTGACCTTCAGTAAATCGAAGATCGGGCTAATTTTTTAAGAATATTAACTTCGGAATATATTACCCAAAATATTAAGTAAAAAAAAAATCTATACCACTACAACCCATGAATGGTCTTGGGTTCAGTACTATTTAAAGAAAGCACTGTTTTTTGGTCACGGCTGTGTAAGGAGGTGATTTGAACGAGATCACGCTCAACAGCCAATTTTCCCCCTTAATTAATTATTTAATTAAGGGTACCCACTTTATAGAGGCTCGGTGTGTTCCAGGAGGGTCTACCTACCCAGCGTCTCCTTACGGCCAATGAAACAAAATAAATATTTTTTCTGCCATAAGCCGGGGATCCGAACCTGGGACCTTTAGCATTGGAAGGTCAACACCCTAACACTCCCACCCAAAATATTAAGTTTAGACTTAAATTCGATTTTGTGGAGTAATGTCCATCAGTGTCCTTAAAAAAAAAAGATACAATAAGAAAATGAGTGGAAGAAATGGAGAACATTCTCCATACCATTGAAACTATGAGGCTCAAATGGTATGGATATGTGATGAGGATAGAAGAGGAACAACGGCTTAATTCGGAATTGGGAACCGGACTGAAGACGGAAGAAAGTCGCCCGAGGAGAACCTTGTATGAAGAAGTTAAGGAAGGAATGATGAACAGGGGTATGGGTGAAGAAGATGGCAAAGACTCATTTTTGGTGACATAAAACATATCACTAACGTTGTAAGAATCGTTAAATAAAAAAAAAAATAAGTTTAGACCAGAAGCAACACTTTCTTACTTATTACTGAACCAAAAGCCTTTTTTCGTTTAATTTGAAATACTTTTATAAAACTTTTAAGTTTTATTTGGGAGAAACGACCGACAAATAGGAGTTGCGCTTTTTCCTCACCGACAAAAATCCTAGTACAGGTATTGGTACCTCTCTTCTTAAAACATTAAGTACAAATTGTGTATTGAAGGATATGATCCATTAAAATAGTTTCGACTCTGTAGAATACGATCTTTATTTTATTTTTATTGAAATTTACAACCGTAAACATATATACAACCAGTAAATCTGCTATAGGAATATATAACATGAAGGTACTAGTGAAGAAGCTAACCCATTAGTAACACTTCAAAGATAAATTAATTTACGAAGTCCCTTGGCCATCTTCTTTTCAGACGCCTCGGAGGGTTGCCAGGAATCGTGTTGGATGAAAGGTAACAAACTAGAGGATTAGGGTGACCAAATAGTTTGGAATGAAAAGAGGTATATCTAGTTCGGGCCAAGTCTTCCACAAGAGGAATGTTGAGGTCTTTATGGATAATTTTATTTGTTACATAATAAGGATCATTTAGGATTTTACTGAGGATTTTGGATTCTAAGGAGTGGTTACTGGAGAAATTTGATGTTTTTGTAGAGCCCCAAATAATACGATCTTAGACGGATAAATAATATATACAGATTTATCATTATATATTTTACTTATTTATTTATTTATTTTTTTAGATAACTGCAACCGACGTAGTATAGACGCCAAGGAATATTATTGTAAGACGATTTTACTGATTACAGAAATAAATTATTCTAAAAAAAAATTTAGTTTATGTACTAAAGAATGTTTGTTTTAGGTGATAAAGAACTTATGCAGCTGCTAGTTTTTGATGCAAAGATAACGGAAGTATCTTACAAAACGTCTAAATGGTCAGCTAAAGACCGAAATGAGTATGTCATATAGAACATATATAATTATTAATTAGTATTTAGTTATAATTATTTTACTATAAAGTTTTGAGTTGCCTTATGCCTCTAACTAATGGATCTACGAGGGAGGGGGCGGATGATAAGGGGACTCTCAAAAGTCCTGTTTACATGGTTTTAACAACGACAAAATCAATTTTCGTTTAAAGTCAAGTTTATTTACTTTACAGTGAAGCAATTGTAAATTACTTAAATTAAACATGAACTTTTTTGTTGGCCTTGAGGTCTGCTATCACTCCTATAGAAATTGTCTTCTACTTACAGGATACCCTGTATATATATATATATGTATATATATATATATATATATATATATATATATATATATATATATATTTTTTTTTTTTTTTTTTGATAAGCACCAAGCTAATTTCAATGTTATATTCAATTCTTTTTTAATTTAATTTCCAAATGTTACATTTGGATACTTCGTTTCATATGTAAAATTTTGCTTCCTATGTAATTTCTTTTCAATTTGTTTTCACTTCATTAGAAAGGTTACGCTTGAAGTTACAGTACTACTTATTGTACTTGTTCATCATCAGTTAACATGCTTCCCTTTATTTATCAGTTCTTGCTTTACTTCCGCCCCCTTTTTTTTTTTCTTTTTTTTCCTATTCCTCTGAAAAAGAAAACATGAGATAAGTGTCATATTCGCACCATTACATACTAATGGAACGATACTCTGAATATTAAAACAACTATCTTATAAATCTCTATGTTATACAACTCCTGGATTGGTTCTTCAACATACCGTCTATAGTCATCAGTGTAGTCCCTCTATTATAAATCTAAAACTTTTATCACTAAAATACTTTTATAATAGCATGAATGGAACTTAATTAAAATAAATTTTATTTTCTTCCCAGAGAAAAATTAGTGAAACGATATGGAGCGTCACTGAGGTTTGTTGCGACGCAAAGTGGACTTACCAGATGGCAGCACATTCCAGAAGCAACCGAAACAAGCGAGTTAGTAACGAACTTCATTGACCAAATTTCAGTTATATTTTATTTATCTTATAATAAAAATTCAATCGTGATTAGTGTTGCCCAAATGCGAGACCGAGGCGAGTCTTGGTCTTGCAAACTCAGTCTTGGTCTTGCGCAACTCTCGTAACAGTCTTGCAGTTAGTTACCTATTAGCTCATTACTAGAGAGATATTACTGTAATTGCTTAGATATGAGAAACCTAACTAAGTCTGATACACCAATTCTTTACATAAAGTAACTAAAATTGTCAAGTATTAGTAACTATTTTGCCTCAATTTTTATTCAATAAATCGATCTTTTTTACCAGTCTTGGTCTTGCAAGTGTAAGACCAAGACCGATTTCGGGCAACACTAATGGTGATATATCTTCATTTGATTATTTATAACATTACAAATATTCTTTGGGGAACGGATTATAGATGTAGTGGAGTTTTTAGTAGTATACAGTGCACAGTAGTACAAGAGAAATTGTAAAATTTCTACTATTGAAATTGTTCACTCAAAATTTCAATAGTAGTAACCTTACCATTCAAAGTAAAAAAATAATAAATATTGTTATAAATTAGTAATAAAACAATCAAGTGACAGAACATAAATGTTAGGTTATTATTGGAAAAATTGCAAACCATACAGCCTTATGACTCCAAAGTGTAGGTAAAGAAAAACCCGTCAACATTTCGCTAAAGGTATCATCAGGACAGAAAAGAATAGCTAATCGAACATCTACTCCATAAAATCCAATCGCATACTTTATAAAGAAATATTAGTAGACATAAAAAACATTGAAATATATATCGTCCATCTAATGCAAAAAGACACTAACTACATTTTTTAAGAAGTTGATCTTTTAAGAATGTTTTCGTGAATTTCGATTTTATTTATCTATAAAAAAAAACATGGTAAGTGTACCAAAATGGCACAAACTCATTTATATTTATTATATAGTTACAAATGTAAAATGTTCTGATTTCACAGTGAGAAAATTCATCAAATTTCTTAGTGATTTAAAATTATGAAATGTCACTTAATGACTTTTCGAAATAAACATACAATATTTTCTAATAACGCATACTGAGGATTCAATGTAACACAAACAACTTGTTCCGACGATGAACAAGGTTACTTACTTCTTGGGTTGATGCTGCGTCGGTATATAATAAAAAATAAATGAATGATAATAAAATAATTTAATGTAATAATAAAATTTAAAAAAATATAATTATTCCCTATCAATTATCTTCTTAAAAAATTGTTTCAGGCCTTTTGGTGACACTAATAACAGAGCCCTTGAAGAAGTGTGGTACAGAAGTGCCGTTTTGCACCATCAACTAGATTCTGAAGCATTTGTATTTTCTGTGCCATTTGATTCAGGTGATTATCTAATCAATTTTTTCTAGTCTATATAATAATTATTTTGGTTTTTTTTTTTTTTAAATGTATTCTTTCGTCCTTTTCTTATGTGGAAAGTCTCATCCGTTGATTTTGAACCTATGTTGACTGCTGATCAAACTACCCACGACCTAGAGACAATTCAGCTTTTTTTTTAAATCCAATAATTACGATTTTACTTTTATATCAAGCTATTATTCACCACTGAGTTTTTGTATAAATGACTCTTTGTATTCAATGGAAACCTGACCTAACTAATTTTAAAAATTAAGTAAGTACCTTCCTTCACTAGCGGATCCAGGATTTATTTTTGGGGGGGGGGGGCTTCAGCCCGAAACCTTTTTTTTTCATAAAAATTACGATAATTACTTTGGAAAAACAGAAAGAAACTAACTACCTATATGAAATGGTGTTTAAGTTATTCCTTAAGTACTTTTAAATGTAGTTACACGAACAATAATACTTTAAGAGGTATGTTTTAAATTTTTTTCCCATAAAACATGGTTATATTTTTCCATTTTGGGGGGGGGCTTCAGCCCGAAAGCCCCCCCCCCCCGTAGATCCGCCCATGCCTTCCTTCCATGTTTGAAATAGTGTGGCCCAAAAACGGTCTTACAAAAGTGCAAGACCAACATTACACAAAAATATATGCAATAAAAAGAATACAGTTGTAAGACCAGTCATCGTGTATAGAATGATAAGTACAAATATATCTGGAATGTAAAACATTCACAAGAAAGAGAGAAACATTTGAAGAAAGATTTATGAAGTAATAGAAGTGATAATCACAAAACAACGTTGCGGCTGAAATTCTACGGACATGTAGTTCGAATGGACCAGTCATGGCTTAATAAACAGATTTTCAATAAACTTTGTGACTATAAACCTCAATGTTAAACAAATGAAGAACAGTCCAAAAAATTAATATTGCAGAGGATAATTGTCGGGATGGGCAAAAATACAGAAAGAAAATTTTTATATTGAGGATTCCTGTGGTGAAAAATAAAAATAATTGGACTCAGGAAAGAAAAGGCAAGTAGTAAGAAAGAATGAAGAACTTCTGGAAGAAATATAATGGAATTATATGAAATGATGTTTAAGTGGTGCTTAAAAGACTATTAAAAAAAAAAAAAGCACTCATAAGATATTTTTTTATTTTTGTGAATACGATCTGCTTTCCCAGTAATGACTAAAAATATTCCGATATTATTTTAATATTATGAATCAATACATTGATGAATTTAACACTAATTTTTTTTTTAATTTCAGGGTCTGATGATAGTATAAAATTAACTGCCACTCATGCAATATTTCCAAAAGACGGTGGTCACGAAGCACCAGGGTCTGTTGTCGGCTTCCAAATACGACATGCTGCTTTAAAAAGTAGGTTCATGCAGATCACTTCAAAAGAATCAAATGTGAGTTTTCAAACTTTACATATAAATAAATAAACCGATATTATAATTCGTTTAATGATATTTAAACCGATAAAACGATATTAGGCTGAAAACATAAAATTGTGCTTTAGATGCTACATAAGTAATCATAGTATACTACTACATTTTATTCTCTACGTGTCGGGGTGCCCAGAAGGGGGTTTCATAGCACAAGTTTCGCCATCAAAATTGTTGAGGGGGCACATTTTGACGGGGTTTCAAACCAGAGCGGGGAGAACATAGAACAGGCTGGAGCAAACGTATTTGTATATGATCTACGATTTTTTAAATTATAAGGAGAAGGAGGGGGGTTATTCGTTATCGATCTTGGGCGTATGGGACTTGCTTAGTATTAAGAAAAATAAAGCATCTGCCTAGTAGCTCAGTATAGATTTTCTATTTCTATTGGCCACTTAGAGAGAAACACTTTATTTTCATATCAATGTTTATGATATTCCAACTTTGAATATCATAAATGCATATAAAAACAAATGCATACAATAAACATGTTAGAAAAAATGAATTTAATGTTTCAATTGTTTATTTCGATCTTTCGAAGAATTACAAAAATTTTTACACTGCAAAATAACCACGATATCAACACAGCATAACCAAATATAAATAATTTAATAACTATCCTATTCAGGGTTCCTCTTCAGTTCTGGAAAAAACGATAGGTATCGTTCAACAATTAAAAGTTTTCATACATTTCAACAATAATACCAAATATTTCTTACTTTTAATTGAGCATCGATACCCGAAGTCGGGCAGCAAGCTAACAACCCCAACAGTGCCGCAACAAAGACATCAAGTTACTGGGGTCGCAACGCGCACCCCGATCCTGGAGTCCAAGAATAATACGAATACCAACAATAACAATGTCTGTTTGGTTGTAATTAAAATTGCCAAATTAAAACATATAACTCAAGTGCCACTTGCCAATACTATAAACATGCCGATGATGTGGTACTGATTGTACTGTCCCTCAAAGCGATCAAGGAGGCCTGTGAAAGGTTGCAAAGAGAAGCTGGAAGAATGAGGCTATCCATAATGAGGAAAAAACAAAAATTATGGTGATGGTGATCAGGAAGAAAACACCTATAAATCCGCCTAAGCATTATGTAGTGGGTCAATATACATTTCAATGCGTCTCCAGTTTTAAGTACCTTGTCTCCATCGTTAATAATCTAGTTGACGAAGAAGAAGAAATTCAAAATCGTGTAATGGGGCTAACAAAGCATATTTCGCCCTAAGAAGTTTCTTCCGGAGTAAGCTACTAAGTCGGGGTAAGAAAATGATTATATACAAAACAATCATCCGACCTGTACTGACATATGCCAGTGCAACCTGGACTCTACTCAAAAGTCTGGCTGAAAAGATTGGCACTTTTGAAAGAAAAGTGTTGAGGCGCATCATGGGGCCAGTTAAAGAGAATGGTATATGGCGTTTAATAAAGAACAAAGAGATCTACGACTTATTCGACGATCTCTGAGTTTCTCATTTCTTGCGAATTCAGCGCTTAAAATGGCTGAGACACATTATCAGAATGGATGAAGGCAGAGCTGTGAGGAAATTATATTATGGAACCCCGGATGGAGTAAGACCACGTGGAAGACCGAAGGGAAGGTGGAAGGACTCCGTGGCTGAGGACTTGATGATGGTGGGAGTATCCAGCAGACATGCTGCTTACCGAAATGATTGGAAAAGGGCAGTTGAGAGGGCCAAGGGCAGCTTCAGACGCCTGTCGAGCTGATAAATAAAATACATAAATAATAAATTAAAACATTATAATTGCTAAAATGATTAATTAAAACAACCTTACATGTATTTTATATTAACGTCAAATGCTAAAAATTCAAATCAGATAAAATAAAATAAAATATACACATACAATAATAAACCACTATTAAAATGGTTCCTAATTCTGTACATTGTCTATTACTACCACTAACATTTTTAAACATTTATATATATATATATATATATATATATATATATATATAATATATATATATATATATATATATATATATATATAAAACGCTCTGGCCAATTTATATTGATTAAAACATATTGTTATACGCGTAATTTAACTTTGTTAAATTATTACGCGTGTTTATTGTGTCTTTTGTCATTCCAATGTACATCATTTCAAGAATCAATCTTTTTTTTTTTATTATTTTCCTTATCAAGGACTTTCACCATATCAAAATCAAATGTGTGCTCCTTTCTAACAGCATGGCTGGTGGCTAAAGCCGTCTTTTCTTTATTATTCTCGACGCTGTATTTGTGAGTATAAAGTCTCCTATATAAGTACTGCGATGTTTGCCCGATGTACTTCCCGCCACAATCGGAGCATTTTATTTCATAAATTACATTTGATAATTTGTCCCGGCTAGTCCTATCTTTTAGTTTGGAGAAAAGGGCCCTTTTAAGGCTATTTCTATATTTATATGTTTTGGTGATATTGTACCTGTGAAAAATCTAGTTTTTAATTAGTATTATTCCAGAAATTGAAAAATGTACTTGTGTATGAACTGCAGTTCATCATTTATTTAATGTTCAATGAAGTGATACTTAATTTTCAATATTTTTGAGTGAAATATAATTTTACTCAAGCTTAATGTTGATTGTAATTTTTAATCATTTTAGAGTTAATTTTTGTTTTTCTATAAAACTGTTTGTTTTCACTGTTGGGCATGATTATGAGAAAAAGTCTCAAACTGTTGCCAAAATATAGATGCATATTTATTGATTAAATCTCAAGATCCTTATGAGAAATGTAGACCACAATATTTTTTTTTACAATAAATAATTCAAATATTTTTCAAAATAACAGTTTCAGTTACACTCACATAAGTTTTTTTTTCTCAGTGTCCTGAATGTGCTTCATGCAAATCAGATACTCTTGACTGCTATCTTATTGATGGAAATGGATATGTGATATTCTCAGAAGTGAATAATGATACTGGAAGGTTTTTCGGTGAAGTGGAAGGTGCCATAATGGAAGCGATGATTTCGAAAAATATATTTAGACATGTTGTTATGTTTGATTATCAAGCAACATGTCCAAATGAATCCACCATACTAGTGAGTGCGGGATGGAATCTCATTAATGTAAGTAATTTATCACATAAAGTTATGTATAATTATGGTAATTTGGTGTGAGCCAAATATTACCCATTGATCTCTAAGTGTGTAATTTTGGGTTGATTCATGTTTCTATTGGTGTGGACCACAGGCAGATCTAGGGGGAGGGGCTTTCGGGCTGAAGTCCTCCCCCCCCCCAAAAAATCGTAAAATATAACCATGTTTTACAAAAAAAAATTAAAAACTATTGCTTAAAGTATTCTTGTTCGCGTAATTACATTTAATAGGGTTTCAAGAACCACTTAAACACCATTTCATATTGGTAGTTAATTTCTTTTCTTTTTTTTTTCTAATTAATTATCGTTATATGTATATGAAAAAATAATCTTTCGGGCCGAAGTCCCTCCCCAAAATTAAATCCTGGATCTGTTAGTGGTGTGGACTGAATAAAGGCTTAATCACTGAAATTAACATTAGTGAAATAACAAAAGATTATATTGAAGATAATGAATATAAACAAAAAATAAAAAGTTTGCACTTGATTTAATGTTGATCATTTTAGAAATGAAGGTAAAATTGCTCATGAAAGAAAAAAAAATATACAATTATGTAGTTTGATATTGTAGGATTGAAAGTGAAGTAATTTTGCTTCAGACGAAAAATTCAATTATGCTGAATGTGGACTCACATTATGTTTAAAAATGATCTTGATTTCAGGGCTTCCTCTTATTCTCCATACTTCCTCCACCAGGCAGTTTCACTTGGATTTACAAAATCATGTTTCTTTAATAATGGCTGGTTAAAAAAAAAATAAAAGAGTTCGCACACTTCACTGCTGCCTCAGCTTAATTGTGCAGGAATTATTTACTTCGAAATGGAGGCCAATAAGACAGTGGTGAAGCCCAGAATTATATATAAATATTTCCTTCATTTTTCAGTATTTCAGGAGTTGATCTCTGAACATTATTAGAAACTAAATTCTAGCTGACATAGCAGTTAATATCAAACAATTATTCTATCTTATTTATACTTCCAACATGTTTGAAGGTTCTGCTTGGCACACACAAATCACGTTTCTCCAAAAAAGGATTGAGTTTGTTACAAAGAGAGATACCATGACATATCTCTTTATTTGTTACCATTACAATTTTTTCAAAAATCAAAAAAAATAATGCCATATTTTTTTCATCTGAAAAAACTTTTACAAAAAACGAATGTAAAGACCCAGGACATCAAATGGTCAAATAATATAAGAACGACCCATAAATATATTAGTGAACCAAGTAACTGAATCGTATTTATCACTTTGAAATTTATATTATATAAAGTCTTAGGTCAAACGACCATGAACCATCAAGTCATTTCTCTGCATATTTACCTGTATTATTTACATTATAATCATGATAATTTCAAAAAATTGTGTTTTCATTTTTTCTTGTTCCAGCCATTCGTTTCAATGATAAATCTAGTAAAGTGGATATTGGGCCGAGCAGTTTGGATGATAATTGAAAGTGAAATAGCCAAGTTTGTATACAGTGAATCAGAAGAAATTAAAGGTAATTATTTTGAATTAATACGTTCAATGAAAATAGCTCAGCCGTCTAAGAACAAAAAGACATGACTCAATTTTTTTCCACCTCCATTTGCTAAAGAAATTTAACAATTATCTTAACAAATTTTTTTTTCAAAAAATCAGAAACTTCGTCGTATTTTTTTTTATTATATATAAAATTTAATCTTTAAAGATAAGTTGTTAAGAAAAATAAATTTTTAAAATTTCAGGAAAAAATTGTTTTTATTAATTTGTTTATGGATTTAAAACCAAATACTTAATCTTTAATACTCAAAAGTAGACCATTATATATTATTGAGGAAGGAGATGAACTGAGGTGGTGGCGTTAAGAGACTTAAAATATTAAAAAAGTATTTTATTTCAAGCCTGAAATAAAATAATATTCACTATTTAAAGTTTCTTTATGACAGCCATCCCCGGCCATCTCAAACGTTTAATCGGTAGAGGTTTTACTATTTAACCAGAAAAAAACTCCCAAGCCCTCTATCTCTCCTCAAAATCATGGGGTGGAATAGCTTTTATTTTATTTTATAAATGTGAGAAACAATTTAAAAAATAGTTACTCTGCGTGGTGTGGTCAATAATCACACTCTGTGTTGATAGTGAAATTATTTATAATTTATAATTATTTATAGCCTACATACGTTACGAACTACGTTATAGGTCTATATCAGTGCAAAATAAACAAGATACAAATAATTACCATATAATGGTACAAGTCACAAAAAAATTAAAATAAGAGTTGACGTTATATTGGTACAATCTGTTCAGTTCTGTAACTTCTACCTGACATCTTGTCGGTACAAATAAGTATTTAACTCTTATTTCAATTATTTTTATACAGATTGGTAGAGTTTTTAAGCCGAAAAAAGTCAATTTTCTACCTTTCCCTTCACTTTCAATCACTCCCATCACTTATTGTAATCATTTTCAGGAGCACAATTAGGGAGAGATGAAGGGGGAACTACAAGAGGAATCTAGTTTTATATATATATATATATATATATATATATATATATATATATATATATGTGTGTGTGTGTGTGTGTGTGTGTGTGTGTTTTCTAAATGATAATTTTACTACAAAAACATTACATACATTTTTTTTCAGTCAGACATCTTTATTTTAATTCTTTTTTTTGTTTTAATATATTTATTTTGTTGGTGACCTCAAATATTAAATTGCTCTGGGTCCCATATGGTCTAGGTCCCTCATTAGTCATTTCAAATATTTATTTATTTTTTAAAAAAAGGGTATTCATTGGATTAAAAAATAAAATATGTGTCGAAATGAGGATTAAAGAAGGGACAGAAGTTTTCACAGAACCCAATTTTAGATTTTTATTTTTATTATTATTACTAGGATTATTAAATATTATTATTTAATTTATTACTTTAAGTAAATTTCATATTTTTTTAAGGAGAATTTCAGTATTTGTGCCCACATTGAATATTTCATTTAATTCATGAGTTCACAGGCATTTGACCTCTTTTAACAGAGAATAGGACGGCACACAATAGGTCTCAGTGAGGCGATGGTGCATTTTTGTCAGAAAAAATATATATAAATATCATTTATCAGATTTTTTATGAATAAATATCTATTTTATAAGTCACAGATTAAGAAAATCTTTATAATAATTTATTGTAATTATTTTTTAAGTAAACACTTGTAATTTGATAGAAGCCAAAAATTTTCCTTTCACATAATTGTTCTTACAAAACTGGAGGATAATCTCAGCTTATTCTGTAACAGATATGTTTTTAACCAGCATGGACTTATAATGTATTAAACAAGCAAGTTTTCTAAATAGTGGGAAATCTATAATGATGTAAGAGACTGATACCCATTTTATAAAAAAACTGAACTAGTGTGGATTGACCTAATTAGAACTACCTTAAAATCATTTCAATAAAAACAAGTTAAACCTTTGTTAGTGAAATTTTATCTAGTTAACGATACTGAAATTGGAATTTATTGAAATTGAATAGGTTTTTTATAAATGCTTCTTATTCAACAAACAATGTGACAACTTTAAAATATATATATATATATATATATATATATATATATATATATATATATATATATATATATATATATATATATTTATTTATTTATTTCTCTCCTGTTTTGAGTTGAACCATATATCCCATATTGCTTATTAGCTGTACATGTCAGAGCTCGAAAATCATTGTTTTTGAGTTAATATCACAAGGGCAATTGCAATGATATCTACTATTGAGTACTAGATTACCATTTTTTAGACCTGCATTATTTGTATATTGTAATATAACCTGTATATATTTGTATTTTGTATAATAGTTTGACAGCAATTTTTATTTTATTTATTCATTAAGATTATTAACTGTATTCATACAAAACTACAAAATAAATTTGAAGTAAGAATTTAATACATGAAATTAGCTTGTGAAGGAATTACCCATTGTTGGTAGTGCTTCAATTCACTGAAATCAATACAGAATAATAACTTTTAATGCATCTGAAAAATTGTGAATTTTGGGTTATGTCATTGCTGTACTGCCATTGCAAATAAGCAATATGGCCTTTTCTGTTAAGATCCATTATAACCTTCTCAAGTTTCAGAAATCATTTACATTACTTCTTGTATGTATAAAAAACCTGTACCACTACAACCCATGAAGGGTCTTGGGTTCAGTACTATTTAGAAAAAGCACTGTTTCTAGGTCAACGGTTGTGCAAGGAGATGATTTGACCAAGATCACGCTCAACCGTCAGGTTTTTCTCCTTAATTAATTATTCAATCAAGGATACCCACTTTATAGAGGCTGGGTGTGCCTCAGGAGGGTCTCCTGACCTATGGGGCCCCACGGCCAATGAAACAGATAAATAAATTTTCTGCCATGAACAGGTGTTCGAACCTGGGGCCTTTAGCATGGAATCTCAGTACCCTACCACTGAGCTACCCCACTCCCTACTTCTTCAATGTATAGATATTTAGTTCATCCCAGAGTTTTCCATAATTTTTTTAAAATATTTTTTTTTAAATATTTTTCTAACAACTAAAGTATTATTAAAATCTATCTAAGCTTAAATATTTTCTTAAAGAATTCAATGTATGAAAAGTTCTTTTTAATTATTATTGGGACCTGCTTTCAATTAAGTTTTTTTTTTTTTTATTGTAGACTACTTTGATACCAAAGATGATTCAGTACACCAAGTTGAAGTCACTGAAGTACCAAGAGCAACTAAAAAATCTAAGGAACCCAAGAAATCTACTGAACCATGTGACAAGACGGGGTATCTATACCTACTTCAACATCTAAACAAGAAAGATGGTTACTATTCGCCTGAACCAGTCAACTGTTCTAGGTATACTAACTACTAATTACCAGAGAATTAATTCTTGAGCAACTTTTTTTAATAATCTTGGGATTTATTTTATTTGAATATTTTTTAATATATATATATATATATATATATATATATATATATATATATATATATATATATATATATGTGTGTATGTATGTTTTTTTTTAGGCCATTTTACGTTAAACGAGTGCCACACACTAACTTATTACTTATTGTGGTGAATGTCCTCCATCAAAGTTGTTACAGGAAACTGAGTTCAACTATGGAAAGAATTGAGTATAGACATAGTAACAACACTAACAGTTCACTCTCTCCATCAAGTTGTCAGAAGCTAATGTTAAATTCATTGCCAAGAAGGAGTCTGTCTGGATGTTTTAATACACATCCATCTGTAAGTAAATCATCTGAAATTTTATATTCCTTTTGATGATACTTCAAAAATAAATATATGTATTAATTACAAACTTGTTTCAGGAATCAGAATTTTACCAATGTTCTGAGGCAAGCTCCTTCAAACCCTGCTTATTATGGATTATTGTTTATTGTATAACTTTATTATCAATAAAAGTGATACTATAATTTATTATTCATTATTAGATCCATTTTCCACTTTTAATATTTTAAAGTAATCTAAATGGGATATGAGTATCTAAAACAATATTAAGTTGAATTAATTACTTTTTCATAAACAAAACAAATATAACTTTTCAATGACACATATAAATAAAGTATTTCTTCTTCAGATGAAAAACTTTTAGTATCAGAAAAGAAGAAAAACAGTTTTTTTGAAATTTTATGGCATAAACTGTCTGACTTAATAAAATCACAGAAATATTCAGAAAATTTCAATTATTATTTTCTAGAATAATCTTTATTTTTAGGTTTTTAGGTTCGTGTTAAATGCATATGAATTCTCAATTAATACGAAATTATGAAGCTTGATAAAACTAATTGAAACTATCACATAATTTTAGTAAGGTGAAGTGAATGAACATTTAATTTTGCTTTTATGTTTAGTTATTATGGTTTTACATAATCACAATACAATAATATTTTTATTTTTTAAGTTATAAAACATTAGCTGCATGAGAAAAATTACTTCATCAAAACAATAATTCATTGATTTAATTATCAAATATACTTATAAAATTAATCAACTTCATACATTCATATATTGAAATCTTGAAATTTTTATTTAAAGAATAGCTTTATAAATTATGAATTACAGCTACCATAGATGAAAAAAAGTAATATATGATCCACAGAATAATTTATGTCAAGTTGAGAGTATACTTCTATAGTAATATTTTCATTTCTCTAGCAATATTATGGGTGTTAAATTTCCATAGATTTTTATATTTTTATTTTATAAAAATTTTTCTTCTTTGTAACTAGGCATTTCCTTTTTGTGGGCACAAGAATAAATGATCAGCTCCAATTAACAGTTCCTTTAATGCTGAAAACCTGTTTGGGGAAACAATTTTTCAGTGGTAATTTTAGGAAAGCTCACAGAAACATATATAGACATATTTAATAATAGGTATTTTAATCAAAAACTAGCATTAAAAAAATTGGAATTAGTGGCGCTTGCTTGTTGCCTTCAACCCATTTCATTATAATAAAATGAAAATACAATAATATAAGCAAAAAAAAATGTGCATAGTTAAATCTAAAAAGTTATAAGAAATTGTTAGTAAATATTGAGAATTATACTTTATGTTTGATAATTAGTTTATATATATATATATATATATATATATATATATATATATATATATATATATATATATATATATATAAAATAAACAATTATACATTAATTAATTTGTTAACTTAATGAAAATAAAGTAAACAATGCATGGTACTGATAAAAAAAAAAGTACATTTCATTGAAATAACAATGTCAATTTTTATCATTGGTGGAAATTTAAGGCAATTTCAAAAAATGGTTCATAAATAAAAACAATATTGAGTCTATACATAAAAAATGTTAAAAATGTTAAATTAAAAAGAAAACAATATGGTTAGTGTCCATCTCCTATCTTGAGAGAAAATATACACAATTAAAAAAAATCGATAAAAACTATTAAATACTTTTTGTTTGTTATTCACATTTAAATTCATTTTAAAGTAAAAAGAATGCAGCATATACCTAATTATGGCCACGTAGTATTGTATAAAAACCGACATTAACATATTTTGTTAGTGAAAGCAATTGCAAATTACTGATATTCAAAAATAATCATGTCAATATACATTTTTCTATATCAGTTTTTATATCAAGTTATGTATACTTATTAGTTTAAATAGAATAAAAACCATTAAAGATAATAAAAGAGAATGAATTTGTATAAATATTATGTCAATTATTAAAGAGCCCTTATTTAACAATAAATTAAGGCTATTATTACAATAATAATTGCACTTTTAATATACCTTACAATCATATACATTTTAAACACATGATTATAAAATATTCATCACACATACATTTGAAATAATACATTAAGTTAATATTTTAGCAAAACATCTTTCAGATGAAAACAAAATGTTAAAGATACACATGTATACCTATGTAATATACATATACATACACATTTATTTATTTATATATATATATATATATATATATATATATATATATATATGTGTGTGTGTGTGTGTGTGTGTGTGTGTATACAGGGTATCCCGTAAGTAGGTGGAAGTTTTTATAGGAGTGGTAGTAGACCTTAAGACCTACAAAAAAGTTCATATAAGCAATGGGTCTATTCTCAGCAGAAAAGTAGGAAACCCAAGCTTAGTGTTCGGTTTTTAAAAAAATCATAAATTATTGGTAATTTTTTTTTATTATTATCCAACTATACTACAGATACCCCACTTTTTGAAAAACTTCGTCGTTTAATAAGCTTCAAGTTCATATTAAATAAATTGAGCTTTATTAGGCAAATTCTTGAGATTCACCTCAAGTTGTGTAAAGAAATGATGCCAAGTTCTATCCAGTCACCTAATAGGGGTTATGTTTTCAGCAAATATGGCTACAGTTAACTGTTGCAAAGCTTTTATTTCTTGTTTTTTTTTTAAATAATTTCATAAATACACTTCTTATTTATTTATTTTTATTATTGAAGTTTGCAACTGTATTAAATGATAAATACACAAGTAAATGTGAAACAAGTAACATGACATGTACAACATGTAGAGAAACTACCCATTGGTAACACTCTAATTCTTATTATTTTTAAATAATGATTTGTTGAATACGTTTCATGTAAAATGTTTATGAAAATGCATTTTTCTCCCAAATCTCTGTCAAAGGAGTTGATCCGTATTTATAAGTGAAAAATTTCGTGTTTCTAGTCCTAAGATTTATGTTTTTATGAAGATAATTGAAGCAATCTGCAGGGTTTTTTTTTAACGTAAATTTTAGGCCTAGAAACATTAAATTTGTCACTTATACATACTTATAAATCAATTCCTAGGACAGAGATCTTGGAGCAAAACACAGTTTCATAACTACTTTACTTGAAAAATAATTTTAAAAATCATTATTCTTTCTATTTATAAATAAACAGTGTATTTAGGCAATTATATTTATTTGAATATAATAAATTCAAAAGATTTCCGCTCAAAAGTATCCTGTAAATGGTTTTATTAATGAAAAACTCTAGTTTACATTGAAATAATTGTTAATTACTTAAATTGAATATTCCTTCAGTTATCGCTTTCTGTTCATCAAAAAGCATGACTTACTTTAAAAAGCACTAAACTTGGATTTCCTACTTTCCTGCTGAGAATTGGCCCATTGCTTATATTGACTTTTTGGAGGCTATGAGGTCTGCTATTACTCCTATAAAAATTTCTGTCTATTTACGGGACACCCTGTGTATATATATATATAATTAACTGTTTAAATACAAATCATTCACTGCTTGTATAAATATCAATTATTCGATTATATTACATATCACAGTTCAAATATTTAAATCAGTTTATGATTAACATACATTTAGCATTAATCATTAGATTTTTCTCAAGTTACAACATTAATAAATTAAAGAAATAACAATTTTTATAAAACCTTCTGGTCAATAGATCAGTAAATATTCCAATAATATCCAACAAATTAATAGTACTTAAAGAAGTAGCAGCAATAACAAAAAGCATATCTCTCACAAGGAATTAATATTTCACTGGTAGCTAAATATTTAATGGTCCAATTTATTTAGAACAAGAAAGACCAAATCAAGCCTGATTAAATAAATATTAACAATGTATTGAAATAGCACCAAAATCTTTCCAACTATAAATCCAATTTAAATGAAACCAAAAAAGATTTTTCTCATCTCTTGAATTATTCAATAGTATATATGCATTGGCACATTCACACATATACATACAGGATATCCCAAGTAAATGCTTAATTAAGCTAATAAGATCTAAATTAACAATTTTTCTTAATCAAGTTATAGGGATTAGGTAAAGTCTGAGTTTTTTCCCCTGAAGTTTCAAGTGCTCTAAGAAAAAGTAATTATTTCAAGTCATGAATGGTTTCTCCGTATTTGTTGAAATAGCTAAAAAATTCAAGACCATTCATTAAATTTAAAGGTAACTGACCTTTTAGAAACATATATATGTAAATTAATATTATATAAGTATTATATAAGAAAATTAAAATGAGAAAAGTAATTAAAAAAATATCTCCTAGCTATTATAGCTACAATATTATCAATAATCTTTTCCTTATAAATTTCAAGTTATTTATGAAAATATCGCTTTGGGACATCCTGTTCATATAGATTTAACAGAAGTGTTTTCCTATTAATAAAGATTCTTTCATCAAATGGACAGTACATTGGAAATTGGCATTTTTAAATACTTACTTTAAATTTATATCACAGATAATTAGCTCATTATATATGAGTGGTCTATAATTAATGTAAACATTAGTCATTAGATAGATTGTAAACAAATTATAACAACTTAACTACAATAAAAATTTTAATAGATAACAATTAGTATGTAGAAAGAACTTAGTAATGAATTCTTGGATAAGAAAACAAAAAAAAAAACCAATCAAGTTCTTGACGTAACATTAATTGTTTACCACTCAATTATAATAAATGTTTCTAATTCATTAACAATACTCTTATTTACTAATTTTAAGACTACATGATCCACCGAAGAAAATAACTTAGAGCAAATATTTGCAATAAATATGACGGTGAAAGGTTCACAGAATGGCCACATAGTTTTATATCATTCTCCTGAAAACAGAAAAATTAACAGCGTTAGTATCAAATTTTTTTAGTGTTGTTCAATAATTCATTTATTATTCCTCAAAATTTAATCTGTAGTGTATACCTTTTCACTCCTGTTGGCACATTCTGCAACATTCCTTCTGCTTAGGTTACGCCCAATTTTACAGCAATGTCCTTCATCATATTTCACCTCACTAGGCAATATTCTTATTATTTTATTTTCGTACTTTGATTCACAAAAATGATCAACAACTACCATTATCAAGTTACTGTTCGGAATATCTTTCACGACATATGGTCTAAAGGGGAAAAATAAAAAATATATTTAAATCATGTAATTATGCAATAATATGATCATAATAAGCTTTTGAAACAATACCTTTCACAGCCATTTTCATTATTTTCCTTTTCAATAACTTTCTTCATTCTTTTCACATCCAACAAATATAAATTTACTTTCATATCACAAGGCTGTGGCCTTGTTCTGTTAATGATGATTTTGGATAGAGGCCTATCATTTTTTGCTGGTGGAATATCAGCATTAGCATCATCATATCCAGGGTAGGTAGCTAGTCAGAAAATCAGATTATTAGTAATGATAAATATGTTTTTGTTTTTTTAAATCATAATCTATCAATTACTTAAAACATAGATAGAAGAATAGGAAAATTCACAAAGGTTCCAACTTAAACCTCTTAGTTAAATCAATATTTATACTTTGCATGAATTATTTATTAGGTATAATGCTTATCGCTCTACACCATGAAATTGAAAAAAAAGATTGATCCACTTAAAAGTGTATGGGAAACGATCAAGTTCTAAAATAAGCGCCAATTACCAATTACCAATAAAATTTCCTCATTCGTTTTTTCTTCGGTGCTTTAGCATAGTAAATATTATGAATAAATACATATCTTTTCTCGTTCATAAAATATTAATATTTCAAAGATATAAAAATAATTTGGTTATACAATGTACACTTAAACACACAAGAAAGAAGGTTTACATTATTTCACTTTAATTAATTTATCAACCAAACTTACCATCACCAGTGTATGTAAAAGCACCAACAGAAATCCAGTTTAAGTTTGTCTGAATAAGAATCCAAATAAATTTACCTAGTAGCCAATTAACCAACCACCCAAAATAATTTATAGGCTGAAAAAATAAACTGTATTATAAGAATTCCTAATCTCCATCTACATTTTAAATAACCACAACTTACTGAGTTCATTTTGCATGAATGACTTGGTTCACCTTTATCGCTACTAAAACAAACTGCTTGATAGTCATAAATTGCAATCTTTTTATAAACTTCTTCTTTGACTAATTTATCCATTATATAGCCTTTAACCTCTCCAAAAAACTTTCCAGTATCTGCTCGGGATTCAGATACTATGATAAATCCATTATTGTCCAGAACATAGCAGATATATGCATCAGAATCACAAGTCTTTTCACATGACTTCTCTTCACACTAAAATAGATTTTACAAACTTAGTATCAAACTTGATATAAAAAAGCACAAAAATTAGAATAACAAATAAATCAATTGCAAATTTTAGAAAGATTATTTATTGAAACCGATGTCGTCCTCAATAACACCAACCAGCACCCTAGAAAGAAATATGGAAAGATTTGAAAAGAAAATCCTCTGCATGATAACTGAAGCCATCTGGGATCAGAATACTAATAGATGGAGGGGAAGGGCCAATAAAGAACTTATTACAGGAACTGGTCAATCAATATTTCATGATATACATAAAGGCAAGGATGTTAAGATGAGTGGGGCATCTAGTTGGGAGTAATCCATCAAGAAGCCTCTACACAACAATTAACGCTACAACAGTAGGCATTAGACCAGGTGGAAGGTCAAATATCAAATGGATAGATTAAACAAAAAAGATGCTGCTGAGCTGCATGTATAAATTGCATCTTATAATAATATAACTAGAAAAAAATTGCTCAAGATAGACAGAGATAGAGAAGGCTGATTAAGGCAGTAAAAGATCTATAATGTCTGTAAAGCCAACAGAAAAAAAAAAGTATAAAATATAGGAGCTAATCCAATGAAAAACTTAAACTATGTTAAACACAGAAATATATCTTAGACAAAAATAAAGACAAGGGCTTCGATGTATCAAAATCATGTAGCTTCCATAAAAATAAGTACTTACAGATGATGTAATGTTCTTGAATAGAGCAAATAAAGCTGAATGATGGAACTGAAAGCCAACCACAGCAGCTGGAGCTTCACGTGATCCTTCTGAATGAAAAACTGCATGAGTTGCAGTTACCAACGTATCATTCTTATCCCCTATAATTATTTTTTTAAATAAAATAAAACATAAATAGTAATAAATGCACTATTAATACTATATGATAAAATATTCCTACAATGAATCTTTTTTTTTTTTTTTTTTTATAAAAATGTTTCATTGTCCAAATTTATAAATTACTGAGCTTTGTTTATATAGCACCTTATCTGAAGTTTCAAATATTAATAATAAATATAAAATAAAGAACATTATTAAAAATTTATCAAATAAAATGTTTTAATTATAAAAATTTTAAGTGGAAGCTCTAATTAACCAAATGAGGGTCTTATTATGTAAATATTTGATACATAATTATATAAATTATTATAAAAGTTATTATTGTTTGTTTTAGCAATTTTTGGGTCTTAGATATCATTTATGACACTGATTTGATAGAACTAAAAAATAAAATAAAATCGTTAAATGTCAAATGTTTCATGGAAATGTTTACCTTATTTATGAAATATAACATAATCACTCACTAAAATAATGAAAGCAAATACTCAAAAAAATAATATATATATATATATATATATATATATATATATATATATATATATATATATATATATATATTTAGGTTATTATTGGAATATTCCAAACAAAGCTTATAAACCCTCAAAAAAACTGCTAATAAATAACTATTAAATAAATCATCATGAACCTTAACGCTAAAGTAGACAGTAAGTGAATCAATTTCAACAGCCGATATGTTGGTACAGATATTCTTTACTAATAAAATAGAAACAGTTCTTTATCAAAAATGGTTCTTCTTTTTTTCAGTACATGATAAACAGGTTGTGAATGTGGTATTATCTCTAGTCTGCATTAATGATATTTTATGCTTTTTAGAACAAATGATATATCAGAAAAAAGCTAATTAGTTGTTAACTAGTCTTTTAGACACCTAATATCAGACTTTATTGTTGATATTTATTAGGCTTTTTATACATTAGGCTCTTCAGTTTCCAGAAAAACCAATCCAATATTTCCCGTCATGCCTTTCAAAGTTTGAACTTTGAAGCCTTCAGATACTACTCCTTGTATTAGGACTTCTACATTTGGGGTCATTTTTACACACCTTTGTCAATCTCACCAACTTACCGAGAATTCCCATTTCAGTCATAATTCTCCAAATGCATGTCCACAGAATCAGAGGCTGCTTTGAAATCGACAAATAGGGTGTGGATGTTCTGAGCTACTTCCCATGGTTTTCAAGTACTTGTTTTAGGATGAAGATCTGGTCTAGTGTGCTCCTCCCTTTTCTGAATCCAGCTTGGTGGTTGTCTATTATATTCTCGTTATACGATTTTATAAATTATAAATAGTAGTAGTAGTAGAGAGTTATACTATTATAAATCCGGTTTAGTAGGATATTGGTCATTACGCTGTAGGCAACCGGAAAGAGTGCCATGCTTCTGTAATTATTACACTGATACATGAAGCCTTTCTTTAGGATAGGACAGATTAGGCCCATATTCCAAGCCTTAGGTATGGTTTCCCCTTCCCATATTTCCTGAATTAGTTGTAGCTTGGCTTTTAAGTCGTCTCCTCCATCTTTAAACAGTTCTGTTGGTAGGTTGTCTATCCCTGGAGCCTTTCTTGTTTTGAGCCTTTTGATAGCTACTTCTACATCCAATATATCTGTTTTTTCAACTTCTTCTGGGTCAAGGACATCAGTATGGTCCATTTTTCATCCGTGTGGCCCCTTGATTGAGAAGTTCCTTGGAAATGTTCTTTCCAGATGTTCAATATATTTCCTTTAGATGCCGTCAGAATGCCATTTTTTCCTTGCATTTGTGTATTTCTCGCTTTATATCCTACCCTTTCTTTTCTAATGTCTGCGTAGAATTCGCGTATATATTATTATTTCACTATTTATTTATTATATCACTTATATTTTTACTTTACTTTTTATTTACTTACTTATTAATTATTATATTACTTTTTTATTTTATATTTTATATTTATAATTTTATTTTTATATCAGTCTTGTGGCATACACCATTAAGCACTTAATCTATCTGGCTCACAATAAAAAACCATTAGATGATCTCCATTTAGCTTAGTATTTTTATTTTTTTTACACTTACACAAATATGCAAAATGCTGCAAAGTTACAACCCCAAGAGTTTTATAAACTAGAGCGCTTATGGCACTCCTTCACTTCTTAACACGAATCAGATTAACATTGTGGCAATCAAGGAATCTGGAGATTAAAAAAGGTATTATTAAAAATAAGAACCACCTTACCTGCGTCAAAGGGAACAGAATAGACAAAACTGTCTGGCTCCACATAATATTGTTCCACTGCTCGCTTATACCAAGTTTCATCAGTAGCTTTGTTGTGAATATTACTAAAGTGTCTGGAAAATTATTCAACCAATCATTTTATTTTGTAAGGATAAATATACTTAATTCTTTTTAATAATAAATTATACTCTTAATGAATATTTTTCCTATTTCTTGACTCACTGGTTTCCATTTTCTGTTTCATTTTCTGGGTTCAAAGATATATCTTGCCATCGTGTCAATCCACTTCTTGTAGCCATAAAAACTAAAACTAATCCAAATCTTTGCTTCATATCTTGTCTATGGAAAAAATGATAAAAATACAATAGTTACAATACAATATTTGTTTTTACAACATATATATAATCAAATAATATAAAAATGTTGGAATGATTATCAAGGTTCAGTCATAATTGGTGCTAATAATTGTCAACCTATATTAAGAATAAAGCCGATACTATAATATTTATTTTATCTTTGAGTTGAATAGAGAACTGACAAGCAATAGCACATCATGATTTGTGGATCACATAATTTTCAAGAAACTCCTCCTTCATTTATAAATCATTATTTTACTACATATATAATTAACTTATTTTCTATGATAAACATATATTTAACTGTGCATATTTACGTATCAATTTATAAACAAATTTAAAATCGAAAAATCATTATGACCAATTTATTGATTGAAGCCTGGTCATTAATATCATAAAAATTTGACCTAAATTATTGTGAGAAAATGTGTAATTTTGTTGATTTAATTGAAGTCAGGTCTTATCTAAATAATCAAAGCTGAATTAGTTGAACTTCTTGATAATAGTCATTGACTGAAACCACGTTTTTTTTTTTGATAAAAGGTTTCACTTTAGCGTTTTCAAAACATAAATGTTTTGTGGAATAAAATAAATTAAAATATTGATGTTACTTTTTATGTTTTAACAAACTGCCCTTCGTAATAACACAAAATAGTTTTACTATATATTGAAATAAATAAAACTATTACTACTATCATTGTTATATTACATATTTTAATAAATACAGCTATGCTTTCATAGTTTTCAAAACATAGTTTAATTATTATTGAAATATAGGAAAAATAAGTAAATCTTTTGGTCTTGACTAATCATCCAATATTTGGTGATACCTCAATATTACTCATGAAAGGAAAATTTTATTACACAAGAACAATCAAAACCAATATTAAAAAAAATCTGGAAGCTTTAAGTATTTTTTTCAAATCTAAAGTTGCTACAATTCAAGAAGTTCGATTTATATACAATCACTGTATCAGAACCCATTCAATGTAACTTTAATGAATGGGATTATTTTTCTCTCACACCATCAAGTAAAAAGTTTTCCTATTTACAACCTACCTTAAATATTGATTATAAAAATAAGATTGTTTTTAATTTGATTTTCCTTTTTTAAATTTAGAATTTAAATAAACAAGTTTGGTTTAAGTTTTTATCATGAGGTGTTATGGTAATATTTTAAATATATTTTTTGAAATACAAAAAAAAATTAATTTAAGTTACATAATTCATTTCTAAACATGATTTCAAACATTCTCGGAACATTTTTTGCAAGGAGTCTTATCTTTTATATGTTAATAATATTTTACTGATAAATTTATCATATTTTGTTATAATATAAAGTCAACAAACACAATAATAATAATAAATATGAAATTTAATAAGCATAGGTTATAATACTCCACTTTTCTAATTAGAACTGGTAAATAAAAAAATATATAATTCTTTATTAAACATATTTAAAATGAGATAGATTTACCCAATATATACTTATACTAATCATAATAATAATTTAGGATACTTAAGAAAAATATTACTAAAATATCTGAAAAAAATAGTATAACTTTTTATTTAATAAATAATTTTTTTTAAAAAAGCTTATTTATTATTGTATTTTTATGGCAGTGATGGCAAAAATTTTCAATTCAAATGATTCTGACTTAAGTATTCTAAAATAGTTAAAATATTTTCATATATATGTATATACATTATAATATATATATATATATATATATATATATATATATATATATATATATATATATATATATAAAATAGAAAAATCAGTTTAAATAAATCACCACATTTTCATGATTGCCATTGCCATTCTATAAACAGATTTACACTAGAGTTTCTGTCTATATTGAATAATTTTATACTACCTTTTGCATTTAACATGTTCAAGAAACATTTTAAAGAATATAATAAATTTATATATATATACACTTAAATAGTAAATTCATTTCTTTGCTATTCAATAATGTTTTAAGACACACTTCTAATATTTGAATAGTGTGCTTAAAATATAAAATACATTGTTACTTTACCTCGACAATAATGCCATCAGCTTTGCAATGGGGCTTATAATACAATACAAAATAGATGTTAGTGCAAATTATTCATAAATGTGCATAGGTTTTGAAATAAAATAAAGCATTAAATGAAAAGGATAGGGTATCTGAAAAATAAAACAAAGCAAAATACAGATTCCAATATAAAACATTCTTATAGAGAATTTTCTGAAACATTTTCTGAAATTTTTGGAGCACTTATGACCAAACAGAATGACATAATATCTTTTTGAAACATGAAATTTGATGAAAAATGAATTAATACCATATTTTAATTAATTGTATGATATGATAATTTATAGTTATATATATATGTGTGTGTGTGTGTATGTGTGTGTGTAACTTTATAGATTATATTTTGTGGATTAACATCTCAATCTGGATCATAAGATAGTGTGTACCATTACACAGTTATAGATAAAAACTTCTGTTTTTTCTTCTTCTTTTTTTAAAATTTGTTTTGTTTAAAATATGGTAGCAGGTGCATTTACACTTACAACATATGTACAATGATGATAAACTTAAATACAAATCTTAATACATGTTAAAAAAAAAATCATTAGGAATTGATGCTTTCTGAAAACATAATTGAATATTTTCTTATTACATTTTTAGCCCAACTCTAATCTTTATGGTATAGTGTTGTTTTATTGAGAAAAAAAAATAGGTACTTGTTGTATTTAAAAAATTAAGTACCTAGTAATTTTTTTTCTATCAAAATGAAAATCTTTGTTTCATGACCACAATAGTTTATTACACAAATGTAAAAATTAAAGCAGAACATTTTCACTTATTTGACTCTCTAAGATTACAGCTTTTTACTTTCATGATAGACTGTGCTACATACTGAACAGCTTGGGAACATTCTAGTTATTCTTTTGATATAAACGCACTATATTTTAAAAGTTATCAGTCTTTCAAAGATAAATTACAATAGGAAAAAACTCTTATTGCCACACCAATTCATATATTGTAACAATATTTTATTTTAAGAAATATTAAAGCAGTAGTTATGAAAAGTGGCTACTTCTTACTTGCTTGAGTCATAAGTTGTGCAAAATAAAGATGGATGGAGGATATTTTGATATTTTTACATTGTCAGGAGAGTTTAAGAGGAATAATAAAATTTACATAGTCAAATTTATTTATATCTAGAAAAGCTCTGAATGAGAAAGAAAAAATGCAATCACGTTAATGTCACATGCAACAAATGTACAATAGAGGTGACTGTAATGGAGTGCTTTAGAAGATAAAGTCTATGTAGCTCTAATTCATATTGCCACCAGGTTGACATTAACCAAAGTGAGTGATTTCAGTTTATATAATCAGCTACTGTTACGAAAAACTTAAGTAAAGAACCATTAACTAGTGGTTTTAAATTTATTATTTATTTTTTTATAAACATTATATATTAAATTAAGTATTGGGAAGTAAGGAATATAATTTAATGTATATATTCTCCAATTATTTGTATCATAATTGTATTTAAAAGTCTATTATCATGTTAACTTCAGAATCCCACATATACAAATCTCAAAAAAATGTAAATTCCTTTTTAAGAATTATTTCAAACAAAAAATATTACTATTTTTAATTTGTTAATTCAGTATCATTTTTCAAGTTATAATATAAAAAATAAAATTCTTTCAGGATATCAGGAATAAAACATATTTACAGGTTTTATTTTGACTAAAACTAAAAAATCACTACTATTCACACCAATAAAGTTTTTATTAATATTTACTTTGTAATTATTGCTAAATTTCATCTTCAAAAATATATTTAAAACAATTATAATATAAATTCAATTAATTGTTATAATTTGCAATCACAGGAAATATCAGACATCTACTGGAACAATTATTTATATTTTAGTAAACCAATGAACTGCATTATGAATAAATCAAATTTGAACAAATCAATCAGAGTTCAAACAAGGTGATTCATTGGAGTAATAATAATTTATACACTAATTCTGCTTATAAAAACAAATTAACTTTTTAAAACAACTTTTACACATAGCACATTTTATCTCTACTTCCAGAAAGCCTTAAATGGCATCGATCAAACCCACACTTATCTTCCTTTGGAACCAAATGTTCTTAGTACTGAGTAACATCACAGGCCAGTATTACTGACATTATCCCTTTCCTTCACTTCATCCCCATTCATTACTTCTCACTTCCTTCACTGAGTCACTGCTGCAATGATTCCGACCTTCTGCATTCTAATCATACGTGTGTATCTGCACATTTTACTTCTAATGAATGCACTTCTAATACCCAATTTAATTCACACAGACACATTTTACTTTGGGCATAAACATTGACAACCACTGATTCTCATGGATGAAAATTATGGTTTGCACTAAATTCCCTGCTTTACCCTACCACAAACTATCACTCCCAAAGATTAAAAAAAGGATTTTTAATTTCAAACAAAGGTCATATATCTCATCTATATCAAAAGGAGTAACTAGACTTTTAAACTATTGTTAAAGTTTTTATAGAGAGACAATGCAATATGCTACACTCAAGGGTGATCAGCATTGGTGTTTTAAGTTTTTATCCATACCTTATATACAAGAGACTTCTAAATATTAAACACATCCAAGCCTTTCATTAAAAATTTCTAAACCCTATAATTCATCAGAGACCCAGTTGACTGGAACCTCTTTCACAGAACACCTAAATAATGCAACATATTCCTTTAATAACTTAGTGGAGCAAGCTATATGAATTGCTTTCACTCCTAATCACTCCCCAAGGATCCAACAAAAAAGTTTTTACCACAACAGCTCATATATCATCCATATCAAAGGAAATAGCTAAATTTTAAAAAATCAAAAATCCTTAGAAGCGTCTATATTCAATATTACTTAGAACAGCAACATCCTACATCATGACTTTAATAT